TTACGATTATTTTTGTCAGTAAACATATTATTGCTCATGCTCGAAATGCTACGACGCGACATCAGTCGTATGAACGAATGAAACAGTGTGTACTTATCTTATTATCATCGTGTGTGACACAAGGTATTGGATGGTTGTTTGGGCCATTTATTTCATTTGTGAGTCCAACCGGTGGAGACGTTTTAGAATGGTTTTTCATTATATTTAATGGATTGGAAGGTGTTTGGTCTATAAGTCTATATATAATAATTCAATTACAAGGAATGGAAGAACAGAAACGTGTTACAGCTGTTGCCGAACTTACTAAAACAACGAGTAGTAAAACAAGCGAAGGCGGAAAATCTTATGAAAAAAATTTACGAAGAAGTAATACTGAGCGACAAAACACTGGAATAGGAAAACGAAATGTACGTAGAGAATCAGTACGTATGTTCGACGATCTCGGTGAAAGAATATCTATTGATTGGCAGGAGAATAAAAATGGTAGTTCATCGTTGTAAATAACTTCGTTAGTCTCATTCTAGTGTGGAAATGAAAATTTGATGTAGTAATATTATTTTTCTTCAAGTGATTGTATCACTAACATTTCACTCACCATTGTTGTTCGATAATACAATTACTATAATGGATAATTTTGTTACGATTTCTGATATTGATGTTATGGTTTTGTGATAGAGAGTATCTGTCATTCATTAGCTATATGGATATCAAGAGAAAAAAATACATTATTGTTCACGATGAAGTGATAAAAAAAAAGCGAATTCCTATTGCATCATGATAATACAACAGATATTACTTATTAGTGTAAAGGTAAATAATCTACTCTTATAGTAGTTGGCTTCTAGCTCCTTCTTCAAAGACTTTTTATGCTGCTCTCATATGTGTGAAGACAACGTTTGTGTGCCTGTGCTTGCATAGCATAGTAAAACAGGAAAAAAATTGTGTTTAATTGTACCAAAATGATCTATGTTATTTATAAATGAATTATGTTGGTTAGTTGACATTTTGCAACACGTTATTAGATACCGAGCTAAACCATATTTTTGCGATTTACTGTATAGAAACAATAGATTGATTATCCTGTTTAATAGTGAACAATGCATAATCATATGAAGAATTCATCTCTAAAAAAAATCAATGAAAAGGATTTGCCAGAAAAATAACAATTTGTGATTTTGTTTTCAAGAAAATATTGCTACTAAAAGAAAATATGTTTTGTTGCTTCTATAGTTGCCATGATAATCAAGAAGATAAGCATACTTGCAATATTCAATAGGTAGCTTCTTGTTTAGTTACAAAAAAAAAGAATAAAAATTGTTTTTACCTGATATTTCGATTTACACCTAATCTATAAATTGCTTTTGATATTTACGATTTGTTTTCCAAAGACTCGCGTTTCCTCTATAATATATATTTTGTTGGCCTAGGTGTAAGTATTCTTAATCAAACATTGAAGAATACAAGTTATTTTCATAAAATAGAAAAGCATGTCGTTATCTATAATAAAAGCATATGTATTCCTATCATGAATAGAATGGAGACAGATTGTAGACATCGCTCCGCAAATGAACTAATGTTAATTGGTTGTGCGATATTTTACTACTGGAACTAGATCACGATGGAGACTCCTTGGAATATTGACCGAGTATAAACGAGAATAGTTATACAGATTGTGATCATTTTTGAGAAAAAGCATGCTTATATTTATAAATATAGGGTAATCAATATCCATACGATACAGATTCTTAAACACTTTATGAGTATGAAATCGTAAATGATAATGAATTCTTTTGTAACTATCTTCATTCAAAGGACTTCTTAGATACAGTCATGAATTTAAAAAGAAAAGGTAATAAATAATTTAAAACAATTCTGCAATAAAATTGTACATGCTTATAACAGTCTTTCGGATTTAAATACTTTTAATCCAGCAAACTATAATTTTCATCAAACATATTGTAATTTACTAGCAATACTACAAATATTTACTTTATTATTTTCCATCATTTCTAGAATCTCACGGGCACATACCATTTTCTGCATTTACCATTTGATTTCTGCCGTTCGATGATTTTCATATCATCCATCCCATCTCAACAACGATATCAAATTATTCTGTCTTCGCAATTAAATAATCATCTCTAGCTAACGGTTTAATTTTATCTTATATTTATTTTCTTAACTTTCTGGAATATTTGATGATTTTAAAACAAATCCTGGTAGCTATGAAGAATAATTGTACAGTAATCTTATTCAATGTTTGCAATTAAGTAATAAACAAATGAATCATAGCTAACAGAATGAAAATAAATATAATGACATGCTATTTTTTCCGTATACCATAAATATAGTGTTTTGGTTTGTGTTCGATAAAGGTTGATATAAAATTCTCTATTTCATTTCTCGACATCTATTAGACACGTTTCAAAATGAGAATTTCCAGTTCACTATTTTGTATCAATAAATTTTGAATTTTTGTTATATCAACAACGACTATTGAATGCGTATGTCTAATAGAGACTGAGTATATGACACGATGGAAAGAAATTATGTTTTATTATATGTTGTTTCATTATAATATCTATGATTCAATTGTTTTCTACTTGAATGCATACATTAAATAAATTCATACGTTTATTTAAATCAGAACATACGGTAGTAGATTTTAAAATTGCTATGTATCAGTTTTATAATTCAACGGTGCAATTGTTTTTCATCGTATATTTTAGAATGAATATTTATTTCATAATGCTCTAATGAAAATATATAGTGGAGTGAAAATATAATTTAACTTAACTAAGGTATTCAATATTAATACCATTTGCCTATCTAATATGGAGCTGGTGGTAATAGTGTTACAGTTCATTAACGTAATGTTCTCGTCATCATAAACAAAAATAAAAATATTCGTGGGCTTTATTTTCTTCTTATTGTCTTTAGCCAAGGACGATTAATATTTTTCATAGCACATTTATTATCAGTGGGTTTTTGTATCAATATAAATGAAAAGGACGTCACTTCAAATATTAACTGACCAATAAAAACCAAACCATTACTTTCCTTCTTTTTCTGTCTGTTTGCTATTAAAGGAGACCTAGCTAGCCATTTCTCATTTGTTTTATTAGTGCAAGCTATTACACGGAAACAACGATAATAAAATGGCGTTTTTTAAGGATCTATTCAATATTAATGACAGCAAACAAGCTCATGAAGCTATCTACGGACAACAGCCTAGCCATCACTCGTCTTGGACACATGAACTTATATCCGGTGCAGCAGGTTTTGCCGGTAACATTCTTACTGACTTCAATTTTGACTGAAGAAAAATAACTTTTTTTAACTCTACTGTCTCAGTTTACGATTTTTGATTAAAAATAATTATCTTATAGATAACTTAACGAATTCATCACTGTAGTATGCGTGAAACTAGAAGCTAATCGATTTTTTCCCTTGAATTGATGACAATTGTTTTCATTGTTTTACCCATGAAAGCCTACGAAGATCATGTTCGTAATACTGGTGCACAAGTATCACATCCAATGATGAAAGAAATGCTCGCTGGCTTAGCAGCGGCTGAGGTTGATAAACTCTTTGAAACCAAAGGACTTGATTTTCTTGATCGAGAAGAAGCAAAGCGTCGTGCTGTTCAGCAAGCACATCAACTTGCTGATGAAAAATATGGACCTGGCAATATATTTAATACTGAAGGCCAATATGGAGAAGAGCATTCCCATCGTCATCATCATTTTCATCATCACAGTGAAGAATAGATTTCGTTTTTCAAAGCTTATCAGTTTCGATTTCTCATGATGAACAATAATCTAAAATAAAAATAAAAGTTTCTTATTTTAATATGAATTATTCGTATTCATTGTAAAAATATATTCTTTTATTGTTTTTATTGGTTAGAATTATAGCTAGTCTTATGTACTTTATTCAAACTGAATATTAAAAGAAAGTAACTTCGAAACTGTAACAAAGTTTTGTAACGATAGCGTATGATACTCGGCTGTTTGTCGTCGAAGTAAAGAATCAATGTATTGAAGATCGAAAGCTACTTTTATCTCATTCATATTCAAGAGTCAAAAGATATTGAATATATATTTTATTTTGAAGAATAATAGCTCGTCTGCGAATCGAAGAAAAAATTACATAGAATTTGTATAAACAATAAAGGAGCCCTTCAGTAAGAAGAAATTTTTGGAGCGAATCATTTGTATTGTTTGCATAGTATGATTGGAAGTATAATAAGGACTGTATTATTCGCTCATGGTGATTCATCATACTATACATTCGTTCTTATTTTGCTCTTTGTCGCACGCTTGACTTCAATATTCAGAAGTAAAATTGTAGTACATATGCAGTAAACTGAAATACTATTGGAATACAACAGAAATTAGATATTTTACTAAAATTCACTGATATTTGATATACAATATAAATGAATGCAAAAGTTGCCGTTATATACTTTCAATCATGATATCTGAACAATAAAAAGAATTGACTCCAAAATTTTCTTCTCTATGAAGGCCTCTTTTATTGCTTTTACAAAGTTAATGTATTCTTTTTCTTCGGTTGATGGATAAAGTTTCATTCTTCAAAACAAACATTCAATATCTCTTGATGCTTGAGTATGAACGGAATAAAATTCAAATTCAAACAGAGATAATATATATGGCTCACTATTTTTTTGCTTCGATCACATCGTTAAACAATACATAACCATTATTTTTTTCTTCTTCTATTGTGTGCAACAAAGTAATACAAAATACGTGTCACTCGATGACAGTAATGCTGAAAAACAAAACTGTACGAATATTATTCTTCGCATATTTCTCTATCATAATGATAATGGACGATGTATTCGTTGGTTTATTTACTGAGTTTATTGATCAAGCTGCGTTTCTATAGCAAGAGTAAAACAAGCAATGCTTACAGTCGTACTTTATATAACTAAAAATCTAGTCATATTTGCAAGTGTACCAAATGATTGCCTGTCATTCAATAGCAATAGGATTTTATAGATCAACCTTAAATGCTAAAAGTAGCATGAAGTTGTAATTTGAGCATGATTCATCTACAAATGATGAAATGAAAGACTTAAAATAACTTCATATTATTCTTGAACGAAGGTTTTTTTCAGATTACCCGACTAGTCTAATCATTTTCAATGGTATTGCATCCAGCATAGTTTTTACTTGTAAAGGTATTCAGCCATTTTATTTATTATTCTGTCACATAGAAATCATCAAATAATATTGTTTTATTTTTTACTACCAACATTTGTTCATTTTCAAAATTTTGTTACTGCAACATTTTGGAATTTCAAATATACGTATTCATTCATATTTCTGCAGTTGACATTATTCATAGACAAATCATTATTTATTTCTCCGTTTTGACAATAGAAACAAATATTTCACTCAACACCTGATCTAACTCCTCTTTGTCTATTATAGTATGTTTCCTCGAACTGTTCTTGGTGCATTATTTTTATATTTACTCATTTTCAGATTTCTATTGACCAAGTCATAATTTTCATCAGAATTGACTCTAAAAAAATTATTTTCTATGACGCAGATCTGAATTATTCATTGATGCAATCCTCTTGAATGTTAGATATTACTCATTTCCATCAACAAATAGAAATCCGATAAGTGCTTTGATAAGATATATAACAACATGGAATGACTTTCACGGATTTCATCTGATTTTAATTCCATGACACCGAAAGGTGAATTTTGAATTGTTTGTTTCAAAGTTTTTATTCTAACAAATGGAAAATTGAAGATTAATTTGGCATGGAATCAAAATTCATGACGTGTCTACTCAATATAGGTTTTTCATAATTAGTTTTAATGTTTTTCAAATATAATATACGTTTTGACATGCATTGCGTTTGTGAATCAACAACTTTGAACTTAAATAGGAGCCAAATACAACAATCAATCGAGAATTTTACACTATCCATTTTTAAAAACGATGCTGTTCTTGACAAGCGATCTCCCTATTTAAAATGTGACTTCAGTTAGAATAATTGAAGTACACAGAGAGCAAAATGTCTTTCAGAGTCTAGTCTATTTCCGTTGTATTTTATGATAGTTAAAAGTTAGAACGCTAGGAAAATATCTTGAAAATGTGGGATTTTCTAAATGTATCCTAAAAAAACCGAAGATTATCATGTGATAGTAAAAGAGAAGCACTGATAAAGTATTGTATCTCATTTTGAGAGCAGCTGAATTTTTGTTTGACTCGATTGACTTTTTAGGTTATTTTAAAGATTTAAAAAATAGCATAACAGAAGAAAATACTTCTCGAGCTGTCAAGCAGTCCTGAATACATTCTAGGATAGTATCTACTCATGTGTGCATAGTTCGATAGCATTTTGCTACATTGAAAATTGAAGATTTAACTGTTTTCCCCTTGTTTTCAACTATTTTCATCAAAATTACGCTCCTAAGGTAGTGGGAACAGGGTGATAGAGTTTTTATTAATTGATAGAATGTAAGGTTTTTCATAGACTGGTGTGTTTCTTTTTATTTTATTTTAGGCAATCTTGTGGCTCACAACTATGAAAAATCTATACACATACGTATACAGTCTTTCTCCATGAATCATCATGTAGTTCGCCTCATCCACTACGTATGTAGCCAATCGAATGAATCCCAGACTATTTTTGTAACAAAATAATTGAAAAATAGTTAAAATGTTTAAGTTTTTTTCGTTGATTGAAGCACAATGTTGTTTTAGAGAACGCAAGGAGAGTGAGAAAAAAAAGAATCTGTTTTTATTTTGTACTATATTGCGTTATTTGTCAAATCTCATATTTCAAAAATAGCTTCTTTTAAAGAATATTTTTTATTTAAATCGTAAAGCTCGAATTTCGCTACAAATAATTGAGTGTATCACTGGCAACATTTTTATCTTTTATATCATATTCGCACTTCAGAAGAGTAAGAAATTAAGAAATACAAGTAGTTATTTTCATTTATAAATCACGCTTCTACTTACAATCAATCTTGCCTTCATTTATTTCGATTTCTTTCGTATATACGTAACTATTCTCAAAACACATGGCTTAATGTGACAGAACAGTATGAAATGCAAATCAATTGATTGTGGACATTGGGATTTCGATAGATGTTTACTCTATGAATGAAAAAAAGAGAGAGAGAGAGAAAAAACAAAATAAATGTTCCACAAGTATGTAGTAGTACATATAAAATGAGCGGTAGATGAAATCGTTCGAAAAAAAAGTCAAGCGGCTTCTTACACAATTGTTTTTCTATTTTCTTGACATGGAACAGAATCTGAATGATTGTTGAAATGTTCTATAAAAAAAAATGTATGAATTCTTTTTTTCTTTGCTCGTCCATTTAACTTTCGAAAAACAAAGTAATACAAGAAAAACATTTGTTCACTTTCTTCTATTTTTGTGCCGATAGTAGCGTTTTCATCTGCTCAAGCAAATTCAAAGTGACGTAATGTTTTTCAAGTTTTTTGAACGAAGGATATTTCTTATTATTTGGTTCCTTATTAATTCAATAGAAAGCGATTATTTTAGACCATGATAAAGCTAAAAATGTATGAGTTTTTATTAGATCATTAATTGATGGCAGTGATATCTGATTTTGTTTTTGTTAAACTCAAAATTATCATTAACAAGTCACATATAAGATATTGACATTGAGACAGCCACATGCACTTTTTCCTAAATGCAATGAACTGCAAAGAAGTTAAATACTATATTAGAGTTAAAATTAGATTTCGGATAGCTGTAAGTACGTAAATTTAGCGTCAGAAATGAGTTTTTTAGTAAAATATTCGTCAGTGTGTCTGTATCTCAGTAGATATACAGCTTCTGAAGTCTTTTTATTTTGAAGAGATGTTATAATTTTTTTATAAATAGTTTTTATTGCAAACATCAGTATTTAAGCTTCATATTGACTGTACAGGTTGCGGAAAAAAGTTATCATTAGTATCCGATAGGATATCTCCTTAGCTGCAACATTGAACGTGACTAATCATCAATACTGGTCGCTATTTATCAATGAATAGTGAGTTGAGAGTATTTGAATCTATGTGTTAGCCATAAATTCGCTTTCAATGTTCTAATCAGTATAATGAGTGCTTTAAATAGAACTCAATGATATTTATAGAATAATATCGCATTTAATTGTATTGATGAATACGGAAGATTTCTAGCTAAAAGACGATTACTAGTTTATAGGTTACTTGTGTTCATTTTTTATGGCAAAATACTTATCATAAAGCAACAGTATCAATCGAGAAAACAGTTGTATGATAGAAACCAATCAAATGTGTCATACCATTTCAAATTTATTTTTCTCGTAAGTCGGGATAAACTTCTAGAAAATGTTTATTTAGTAGTTCTCCGTTGCTGTCTGATAGTAAAATGTATGTTTGAGGAAAACCGTATTGTAGTAATGCTAGCCACAACAAAGTGAAATTTTAATTGAAAAAATAAACAACGAAATAAAAGCACAAATCGACGGTGGCACATACGATTCAATTCGACTTAGAAGAAAAGCTTGTTTCTGACTTCCTAGTCAGTTTTGGGATAGCGAAATTTAAGTTTTACGTCAGTTATAGTTAAATTCATTCAAATTTATATGAGCTTTTGTGGCCAATATAAAATAAAAACTCTGATCCTGAAATTTCAAAAATTAGTATAAACTTGTGCTTTGACATTTTATTAATAGTGGAACATTTGTGAAGTTCACCCAATATTGCTGAAATAAAGTATTTAAAAAGCAAAGTCCTTATTTGTTTCTTTTGTCAAATACAAAAAACATGCACTGTATCATGGTCAATATGGAATGATTAAATTTAATGTACGGTATTGTGGATCTAGTTTTAGATTGTTCGAAAATTAAATTAATATATGTATTACATGGGTACATTATTACAACTGCACTGCTTTCTCATCACATCTATCGGGATTTAGTCAAATGAGTTGTTTTACATGTCAGTTGAAATTTATCTACACAACAATTGCGATCAGCCGGTTACATAAAACAGTAATAATTTAACTTAAACACTTAATTGAATATGAAGACTGTACAATGGAAGTTTTATACGATTTTTCTAATTTTTTTTGGCATTTGTCAATCGCAGAATACCACAAGTAAGATTTATAGAATAACTAAAGCTATATTCGAAATTATTAATGCTACCGGTAAAATAAACAGATAAAGGTGTGCAGATTTAGTTTTGAAATCATAATTTATCGATTCCGTACTGGTTTGAGAGCAATTATTGATGTCGCTCAAAGCATCTTCTGCGATGGAAAACTGATTACTAATCAGTGATTAGCACTGCTTCATAATGTATTATAGCATAAACTGTTCACTTTCAATGCAACTTTCATTTTCATTGGTCCGAGAGCAATAGTTTGATGAAAAAAATCCAAACCAGACTTGAAAAAGCAAACGACATTTACTTGAATTGTCTACGTAGTACCAACCGAGAGTAAACCAATAAAGAAAATGTTAGATAGTATTTTGGTGTTCTTTCTATGACTATTTAAATTCTGCGACAAGTAGAAGTGGAGTATGAGGTGTTCTTTACAGTTCATATCTGAGAGAAAACCGAGGGGGGAAAGCGAATACTGAATTTCCGGATCTCATGGATCCAGATGGATCCTGGGATCGATCCCCCCCCCTCTCGAAGCAACCTGAGTCAATTCAATGCTCGAAATTCAAATTTAATACAGAGTAATCACCCTGAAATACTCTCTATTCCAAAGCCTATCCTGAAAAAAGCTATCCATTAACCACATATGTTCTAATGATAGAGTACTTTCGAAGTTGTAACATCCATCCTAGTAACTGCAATAACATCCAATACGGTAAATACCACCGAGCATACAACAATATCATTGGCAACCAACGCCACAATCATAGCAACATCTACATCTATAGATACTACGACACCAGAAGTGGACACGACTGAAGTCAGTACCACAGCGTCATTGGCAACCAATATCTCGATCTCGCCCAGATTGACATTAGCGTCTACACCAAATCCTTCGCCATCCACTAGGCCTACCGCATCCACAGCGCCAGCAACTTTTACTTCCACCAGCACCGTATCAACATCATCAGCTTCTCCTAGTATCACATCAACAATCTCCATGTCCACTAGTCCCAGATCAACATCAACTTCACGGATTACAATTTCAACTAGTTTAACAACGTTGACTTCAACTAATACCACATCTACTTCTACATCAACAGCAGTATCATCAATGTCAACCACTGCTACGGCATACACTCCTGATGTTTGCCGTAATTCATCACAAGTAGCATTGCCCAATGGCACTTGTGTTTCTTATGCCGCTGGGCAGGTTAGTTCAACATTATTCTCTTTGTTTCACTAATCGTTGTCTTTCAAGGAATATTCAGCTGGAATACTACACAGGGGCAATGCAAGTTCTGTCGATCTAGCAGATGCTCTTTCATTGTATGTAGCATCGATAAATAATGCAAATATGTCAAGGGACGCTAATAGTACTGTATCTATCAATATAATAGAGGAGTCGCTGCGTAATCTCAATAATACAAGTATTACAATTAGTTCTGATACTTCTTTTGTCATTGCTCAACCGCTGAATCACAGTTCAAATGATATTATATTGGGTGCAAGATTTCAACGTGGTTTCAGTGGTGCTTCGGTGACGAATTCTACTAAAGATTCTTCATTACATTCAAACATCACTGTGGCTGCTGTTATTGCTGAACAATCTTTGCTGAATGTGAAATCTCTGCAAATGTTCATTATTGATAAACCAACTATGTACGAAAATGTTGACAAGAAAACAAATAAGTCACTTGCCTCTTCGGTTGTCATTGGTTCAGTTCAACCAATCAGTTCCGCATCTGTTCCAATGAATATTTCTTTATATTTTAAAATATCACCAGAGTATCAGCCTAATGTAAGTGCCACATATCTATGTTCATTCTATGACATCAGTAACTCGCGTTGGAACGAAACTGGTTGTACCAATCCACTATTCAATCCTGCATTCAGCCGATATGAATGTAGTTGTAATCATCTAACTTCGTTTGCTCTTATTTGGCTGCCACAATCACAAATTGGATCATATGGACGTACTATGAGAGCAGCTGATATTGCATCACTTGTGTTTCAATCTGTGTCTATTGTGTGCTTCTTAATTGTTATTATTCATTCTATTGCCGTTCGAGCTATGAATCCATCATTGAAATTTCAAGCCATTAACCTACTTCCATTGATTTCTGCTGCAAGTACAACTATTCTCTTTATATTCTATATCGCCCTGGGCATGACAGTTTATACTCAAACACCATCTGAAAACGAAACAAAGTGTTTTCTAAATTCGAGTGTCTTGATGTTTTTCGTTTATTTCCTTTTAATATTTATGTTCTGTACTAAAACAAGTATTGGTTACTTCAATTATCTTCGATTTGTACATCTTTTTCATGAACCAAAACTGCGTCTACTCTATAGTTTACTTATTATTTCATTTCTTGTCTCAATCACTTGGGTTTCGTTTGCTGCTGGCTTTAATGCAAACGCATCATTCAGCATTACTCAATTATATCCATATCAACTTTGTTGGTTTACTCATGATGTTATTTACTATTTCATGACAATACCTGTTTGTTTATTTCTTCTACTAAATATTTTTACGATTATTTTTGTCAGTAAACATATTATTGCTCATGCTCGAAATGCTACGACGCGACATCAGTCGTATGAACGAATGAAACAGTGTGTACTTATCTTATTATCATCGTGTGTGACACAAGGTATTGGATGGTTGTTTGGGCCATTTATTTCATTTGTGAGTCCAACCGGTGGAGACGTTTTAGAATGGTTTTTCATTATATTTAATGGATTGGAAGGTGTTTGGTCTATAATTCTATATATAATAATTCAATTACAAGGAATGGAAGAACAGAAACGTGTTACAGCTATTGTTGAACTTACTAAAACATCGAGTATTGGTGTTAGCAAAGGTGAAAAATCATCTAGTAAAAATGCTAGAAGAAAAGATAATGCTGAAAGAGAAAACTCAGGAATAGTAGAACGTAATATATGGCAAGAATCAGTACATGGCTTTGATTCTATTAATAAAACTGCACACATTCACCGTTCGATTGATGGAAGTTTTCGTAATGATCAATTCGGAGACGACAATACCATTTAGCCATTGGATATGATATTTTCTATGCCATTCTTCTATAGAAAAGAAAAGTTTTTTCTAGTCATTTTTTCTCTTCGAATCACTAATAAACTATATTGAATGGTGCACGTATTTTTTTACAGGCAATATAATCGAAAAAAATTTTACAATTGTTAAATCAAATCGTACTTGCATTATAGAAAATAGGTATGTCATTTTTGTTTCTTATGGATATAAATATGAAGTTCTATTCAATAATGACAATAATGTAGGTATTATCAAGATGTACTCTCTATCTGACGCGAGTAATGCACTCATACAGCTTTTTAGTTTCCGATTCGCATTCAAAACAATTATTTTTGGATTGTCGATGATTTCTATGAGTAAACGGTGCTTCATGGTCATTTTTTTTTGAATACTACAATAAATCAGTAAAAAAAGTGTTGAATGACGTCAAAATAATGCATGCTATTCACCAACCAAATATTTTTATCTGCTCAATAAGTAAAAGACTTAAGTTGAGTTTTAAACAAAGCATTGGATTCTAGTTTCCTGTACCGAAACGATCAACTAATTATCTAAACAATGTAGTAATGTATACGGCTATTATTGCAATTTATGTTATGAGTTTAAAATGTTCACTAATGATTGACGGAATATTGAATTTTCTTGTATATACATACAATATATGCAGTTACTTTCTTATAGTGAAATAAATAGTAATCAAAAATTAAGGGATAATATAATAAACAATTTGTATATTCTCATTTTTATTTTCCGGGCACAAAATAAATAAATTATATAAATTAGCCTTTTCTGTCAATTTTTTCTTAATCATTGATCTTATGATGACGACAGTTATGTCTGTAATTAAAGAATCCTAACTTGATGCTATAATCTGATTTCAACGATAATATTCCTTTTTAGTGATAGAAAAATACCAGATATAATTGCATGCTAATTACTCCCTCGGCTAGGACTCGCGCCGAGTTAAACAAAGATTTCATTTGATTGTTTTGTTTAATTTCATATTTCAGTATTGTGTATGTGTATCTATAAATTCAAATATGTATAATGTTTATCATATCATGACGGTATTGGTAATTATTGTATATTTTGTTTTTAAAATTACAACTTTATCAAGCAATATAACCTTGAAACGATATGTATATGTATATATAACAATCTAGTATGAACTTTTCACTAATTTCGTATTTAAATAGATTCGATTTAAATCGACTAACCTATTATAATGCAACGGGCATCAATCATAACATGGAAAAATTCTATTTTCTATGATATATAGAAAAACCCTAATCGTAAGAAAATAGTGTCCATAGACGGTAGAAAAGATGTTGATATAATTACTTGTTTTCTTCATTATATATTTGTAAATGGAGACTATTATTGTATGCGTAATCTCGAATTCAAGATCATCATACAATTTTCAAGCAAAATATAAAACTCGGCATATCGCAACTGATAGATGTAAGATCCGCTTGAATTAAATTGAACGTATTTAACGTGAGATCCAAGATTGACTTACGTAAGTCGAAAATCAGGTGTTAAGGTGTATGCAACTTTTCTAGAATGTTCAAATTAGAAAAGTATTATCGTTGATTGTAAATAAGTTGATCTTCATTTTCACAATTAAAATTTTATAGTATGAAAAAATATATACACATTTGTTAATCAAAACAGTTGAAAACTGAGCCGAAATATATTCTACCATTTCCTATTATCTTTCACCGTTCTTAATCAAATATGTCATTTCCTTTCGTTAAGGTAGAATTATCAGCAGCGAAACTTTTAATTTGATGTGGCCTATAATAACGTTGGATAAAATCGAACTGTGTTTTGAGACTAGGTCAATATTATTCGCCAACAATTTACTTTCGTAATTCGAAAAATTTGGTTGTCGGGTTATCAATCCACAACCTTGAATTTTGATACAACTTTAATCAGTACACTTTATGATTTTTCGTGTGAAAAATTCTAGACATAAATTAAATATTTACTTTTATTATACTAATATGCTCATGTCATATCTTTCTACTTTCACCGCTATTTCATAGTGTAAAAAAATTTAGTTTCATCTTGAATCAAAATATTGTTTAATATGTTGTATGTTTTCATCTTTTTTAAAATATTCCGTAATATCAGTATTGTAGAAAGAAGTTAGCCTCGTTAAATGAATCTGTTTGATTCCGATATCATAAAACTTCTTACTTTTTCTTTCTCCCACGCTTTCTCAAACACAAAATAAATGCAGATGTGTTCACTTCATGTCGCAGTATATGTTACAGTAGGCTCCAATTTCAATCCACACTTCGTGTATCTGTTGATTTATTCTTTTTTTCAGTTACTAATCGAAGGAGATTAACATAATGCTTGTTACCATTAGTCAAGTACTTTACATTTTGTATCTATTGATAATTTCATATAATATTGCCGTACTCAACTGTGAAATTTTTAATGACAATAGTCCAGATGCATGGATTGATATAAAAAACGCAAATTTATTCATGCAAATCATGGAACCTAGGATATTCGCAAGTGGTGATACAAGTAAAATTTAAGTTTTTTATTTTCAATATTATTAAGACTTATTTTAGGTGAGACAACAACAGACATAACAATGACATCCATGGAAATAAGTAAGATGAAAGAGTACTATGTTTTACTCAATATATTCTACATTACTCTTCTCTACTTTAGCAATTATTATGACAAGCGAAGTAGCAACGGTGTCATCAACGATGGAATATTCGTTATCAACTTTTACAACAAGTAATGACATATCGACAATCAGTGGCACCTCTGCTAGCGCTGATTATGTTACTAGTACCATTCAATCAACAACAATTGACGGCACGCCTACCACTTTTAATCCTGACAATAGCACCTATTCAACAAGCACTCAAACTGTAACTACGACTACGACTACGACTGCTGACTTTAATCATTTGTTTCCCGAAACTTGTCTCAACATCACTTTAGTACCCTGGATTAATGGTACATGTATTGAAAAATCACAAGCACGAGTATGTTATGATACATCTTTCATGTTTCTTCCAATAGTTTTTCTCCAAATATTTATGTAAACAGGAGGGTGCAGTCAACATATTGCGCGATAATAACGCTACTTCATCGGGAAAAGCTGAAGCTCTGCTTGTATATTTTGGTGCAGCTGCTAATTTGACTTTGAATACCAATGAAACTAAAGATTTAACGCCTACTGAAGTTGATAGGATTGTTAATGCATCGAATAATGTACCACTATTAAATTCAAGCATAGGATTGTTTTTTGCACTATCAAGAAAACTCGAAAATGATACGATTTTAGGAGGTTCAATCACTGTGGAAAGAAATAATGCAGTTATTATGGGAATAAATAATACAGTTATTAAGGAAAGTACTAAATCACTCATAATCGAATCGAATATAACAACTGGAGTTATTCTTGATGACGAATCTCTCGATGATAATATATCTATTAAAGTATTTATACCTGGTGAGAATGTACATTATCAAAATTTGGATACTTCAAATAATAAATCTGTCATTTCACAAGTGATCGTATTTAATGTAGAACGCCAAACTATCAATTATTCTATCAAGGTTTCTTTATATTTGCAAGATTTACAAACTCAAGAATTACGTGAAAATGGAAAGTATCTTTGTTCATTTTTTAATACAACTACGTCTAAATGGGAAAACACTGGTTGCAGTAAACCTATATACAACACAACTCTTTCTCGACACGAATGTACGTGTGATCATCTGACAACATTTGCACTTATTTGGCTACCAAACGGACCCCTATCAAAGGATCTCAGCTCTCAAGATATTGCATCACTCATATTTCAATCGATTTCCATTATCTGCTTTATTATAGTTATTACTCATAGTACTATTGTTCGTCTTCATAATCCTCTTTTAACAATGAAAGCTCATGATTTACTTCCATTGATTTCATCTGCAAGTACAACTATTCTCTTTATATTTTTCATTGCACTTGGTATGACAGTTTATACTCAAACACCATCTGAAAACGAAACAAAATGTTTCCTAAATTCGAGTATTTTGATGTTTTTCGTTTATTTCTTTTTAATATTCATGTTTTGCACTAAAACAAGCATTGGTTACTTCAATTATCTTCGTTTTGTTCGACTTTTTCCTGAGCCACCGCGTCGACAACTATTCGTATTCATTATTGTCTCATTTTTCATTTCAATAATCTGTACTTCGTTTGCAATAGGATTCAATTCGAATCCATCTTATAATATTACACAATTATATCCCTATAAACTTTGTTGGTTTACTCGAGATGTCTTTTATTATTTTGTGATAATACCTATTGGCATATTTCTTTTATTGAATTTTATTACAATTATTCTTGTCATTCGACGTATTGTTCATCATGTCCGATATGCTACAACACGACATCAATCATATGAACGAATGAAACAATTCATTCTTGTGTTATTATCATCCTGTATTACTCAAGGTGTAGGATGGTTGATTGGTCCAATTATAACATTTGTTCAATCCGAAGTTGGAAATGTTTTATCGTGGGTATTCATTATCTGTAATGGACTTGAAGGATTATGGACAATACTATTGTATATCATTATTTGGTTACGTCATTTGGACCAACCCAAACGAGTTACTGATAGTAAAGAATTTATAAAACAATCATCATCACGAAAGAAGGAAAGCAAAGGAAAGTTTAAAATAAGTCGTATCTCACGAAGAAAATCAAAAGATAATCGTCGGAATGATAGTGATCGCGAAATAGATTCTATTGATTTAGAAGATATTAATAGGTTCAGCAATGCTACCGAAGTATAACTATTATGATTGCAATATATTTTTATTTTTATTCGTCATATTTTTATAATGAAATGTCAAGACAGAAATGCTTCTTTGTTTTGTTGAATTAACAGATTCCATTAATTCATATTTTTCTTAATCTTTTAAATATTCGTAAAAAAATATTTTCTTAATGATCAACCAATATATGAATGAAACTTTTTTCGAATCATCTATTGTAAGAATTATTTAGAATAATAAAATCAGCCATTTGTTTCATTTGATATAGAAACTTATTTGATTCTTAAAAAAGCTTATTTTCCTATGGAAGAGAAAAGATGATTTGGCATAAAAATTTAAACATTTTCACAATGAAGAACATGCGAAGTAATAGATACCAAACTGTAACAAGCTTTTCTTTGTTCAGAATGAAAAAAAAAAGTAAATCTTTCTCTATCGGCTCTTTTTCTAGTTAACAATAACACATATATACAGTATATCACAGTAGAACGATATGAAACACAAAAACGATACGACAAAATGTTATTGTATGAATACATGAGAGTAAAAATAAGATTGTGTTAATTTGTTTTTCTCTGTGATCAATCTGTTTGACGATCATTCCATGCGATTCTTGTTTCATAAAACTGAATTAATTCATCTTCACAATATTGCTTTGCAATAGTAGATGGAATTAATTCCATATTATCATCAAATATAGTTGGTGATTTATAATGAACAAGATAATGTAATTGATCGCCTTTCGTACGATTAATACCAAGAATAGCTTGAACTTCATAACCTTTTTCAACTCCGTAAGTAAGAGATTTAATTTGTTGATTTTGATCAGAAGTTTTCGACGTACTATTTGAAGATTCAACTGATTGAGTTGTTTGTTGTTGTTGTTGTTGTTGTTGTTGTTGTTCTTCATCGTCATCATCATTATCATCGTCGTCTACAATAACTTTTACTCGACGTTTTTTTTTCTTTGACCGATTGCTGTTATTATAATTTCGACGTTTTTGAAAAAAACTTCGTTCTTTTTCTCTTTTCGGTCGTTTTTGTTTACGCGCTTCTTCGCGATGAAACTCCTCCAGACGTTCTGGACAATTTAAACTTGCTTCAGGAATCCATTCATTTGCTGATTCGTCATAGCCTACCCATTTAATATAATATTCATATCCGCCACGACCACGTCGACGTTTCGAAACAATTTTTTCCTTGAAAAATAAAAATAAAATTAATGAACCAAATCTTTCTTTTTTTTTTCGTTAACAATTAATTTTCCTTTATAAACTTACAACTTCATATTCACTGCTAGCATTACTGTCAGTATCGTCATTATCAGATTCCGATGAATGAGACTTTGTTTCAGCTGGCTCATCAGTTTTCTCAATACTTGATGTTACAATGTCATTATCTTCATCGACTTGATTGTCACTACTCATTATGTAAAAATGCTGTAGAAAAATACAATTGTCTTTATTCGTCTCTAACCAATCACTACTTATCCCATTAGCGACAATAATATGATGCTATTCGTTAGTTTTTGCTAGGCCACGTTTCCTATCAGTCATCATCGAACTCTCATGAGCTAGAAACTCTACATTCGAGAAATGGCAACTTATCGAGAATTTATTCTACAAAATGAAGAGCGTGACGGTGTGCGTTTTACATGGAATGTTTGGCCATCAACTCGTATCGAAGCAACACGACTTGTTGTTCCACTTGGTTGCTTATTTACACCATTAAAAGAACGTTTAGATCTTCCACCACTAAATTATGATCCTGTATTATGTACACGAACAACATGTCGAGCAATATTGAATCCATTTTGTTGCGTTGATTATCGATCAAAAATTTGGATATGTAATTTTTGTTTACAACGAAATAGTCTTCCAACGCAATATGCTGGAATTAGTGAACAATTACAACCAGCTGAGCTCTCACCACATTATACAACAATAGAATATACATTGATGGTACCGATAAAATTATACAAATTTTATGCGATTTTACCTTTTTTTTGTATTTAATTTTAGCGTGCACCGGTGCAACCAGCTGTATTTTTATTTGTAGTTGATACATGCATGGATGAAGACGATATGATAGCATTAAAAGTAAAACAGTAATTAATTTGAAATTCGTATTACTAAAATCATTTTGTAGGAATCATTACAAATGGCATTAAGTTTACTACCAACAGATGCTCTGGTTGGTTTAATAACATTTGGTCGAATGGTACATGTGCATGAACTTAATTGTGTAGGTATGACACGTAGTTATATGTTTCGTGGAACGAAATACCTAACGGCAAAACAAGTTCAGGTAGATAAATCTGCGATAATCTCGAGCTCGTTTACATTACGAAAAAAATTTGTTTTATCATATAGGAAATGCTTGGTTTGACAAAACAACAGCAACCGAATCCAACATATAATAAGTAAGAAACTGAATACCATAGGGGCCAACTGTTTTACGTCTAAATTCATTTATGTAACTTTCAAAAAATCAGATACGTATATTTGATAAGAAACATGTTGAGCTGACTGTTTTTCGATTTACTGATTTTGTCTGTTAAATAATCATTGATTTTGATTTCTATTCATTACTATCATTCAAGTAGAACCTGTAGTTGTCTAAATTTTTAGGGCACATATATATCAAGTTTTGAACGATTTACTTTATTTCTTTCGATAGACTATTCAAGATTAAAATTTTTATTCCTATAACAGTATCATTCGTTTCAAAGGTTTCTAACTTAAAATTCTTGAAATCGATCTCTTCATTCTCTAGAAAAAATTATTTTTCATACTTTAGATTTATTCAACCAGTATCGGCATGTGACATGTCATTAACAGATCTTCTTGGTGATCTTCAACGTGATTCATGGCCAGTACAGTTAGGAAAACGTCCATTACGATCGACAGGAGCTGCACTTTCAGTTGCTATTGGTTTACTTGAAGTAGTTTCTTTGTTTGAAAATTCTTCATTTTAATTCACAAGCTTATTTAGACTCTTTATCCAAATACGGGTGCTCGTTTAATGTTATTTATTGCTGGTCCATGCACACAAGGACCAGGCATTGTAGTCGATGAAGAATTCAAGCATCCTATTCGTTCACATCATGATATTGAAAAAGATAATGCAAAATATATGAAAAAAGCAATAAAGGTATGAAAAAATATAATAAAAATTTTATGAATGATGTTTTTTTTAATTAAATTTTAGTTTTATGAAGGTTTAGCAAATCGTGCAGCTATTAATGGACATGTCATTGATTTGTATTCATCAGCATTAGATCAAACTGGTTTGCATGAAATGAAATATTGTTCAAATTATACAGGGTAATTTTAAAATCGCTCTGTTTGATGGAATTTCTTATGTACTATTTTTAGTGGTCATATGGTAATGAGTGATGCATTCAATACATCGCTATTTAAACAAACATTTCAAAAAGTATTTGCAAAAGATCAGAAAAATGAATATCGAATGAATTTTGGAGGAGCTATAGAAGTTAAGGTAAAATCTAAAGAACGCCACTGTATTGATGCATATAGGAAATAATGTTTTCTTTTAGACAAGTCATGAACTTAAAGTATGCGGTGCTATTGGTTCATGTGTTTCATTATCACAACGTGCAGCAAATGTTTCGGAAATTGAATTAGGTATTGGTGGAACAAATGCATGGAAAATCTGTGGAATATATCCAACTTCGACTTTGTCGCTATTTTTCGAAGTAGTAAATCAAGTAAAATTTGGTTCATTTTTGTTTTCTGTAATGAAAATAAAAAATTGATTATTTCATTAAGCAACAAGAATCTCCCCAGACGCCATCAACTGGTCGCACAGGTTACATACAATTTATAACGCAATATCAACACTTATCTGGATTTCGAAAAGTTCGCGTGACAACTTTGTCAAGAAGGTATGAAAATATTTAGTAAATAAGTTTGTTAAAAATCAAAAAAAAAACATAATCCGTGAAAATCCATAGATATTTGTTTTAATTGTTCATGTGTAAACATTCAATTATTCTTTATCAAAATATGAAATCAGATTCAAATGATTAGCTTTACTGTTTGTCAGAAGAACACTAACTGTTTCTTTTTATAGAATTTTTAGCCATACTATCTACAATTGTAAGTATAAAAATAGAAAAATCTTAAGGCGCCGATATAAAATTGCTCACGACTAGCTTGTTTTTCAATGCTTTATGTGAAAATGTGCTTCTAAAATGATTGTCTCTGAATCTTCTTTATAAATCGCTAGGTATTACTGTGCTTAGTTTATTGATCATAGCTGTAGCTATCTTATATTCGAATGCTGGTTTTTAGAAAAAAATTTCATAGTCATATTTCACTCACGATACAAGAATAGTTTATAAAAACTAGAGCTCTCTATATTTCATTGAAGATTTTTAAACTTTACTATTGTTTTTTTTCTTCTATAAAATTCTATATTGATCTATTAATGTAAATGCCATCGATTCTCTTCTGAAACACGATATAAACAAACAATTTTCTACTATTGATTTTTGTAAAGCTTTGTATTTGAATTTATGTTTTAATCTTGATGTATAAAAAAAGTAAATCGATTTTATTACGAGTAAAGAGAGAGGGAGAGAGTAAATTTTTTCTCTGTTTATGCTGTTATCCAATTGAGAGATGTGAATATATCCTTCTGATACTTCAGTACTACTGAATGCATCTTATGATCATTGTAGCAGAAAAGAGTAATAAAATCCGGTACATCCATCGATTAAAGTCTAGTGAGATCAAAACTAATTTACTTACTTTTTCTTATCGCTATCAAAACAGGTCATTGATTGGATAGTTCAGATTTGCATATTTGGTCCATCAGGAAAAGTAACGTCAAAAAAAAGAAGCAATTCTGACAACATGTCACATAAAATAGCTGTTTGCTTGAATCGTGTCTTGAGAATTGATAGATGTTATTTATATTAATTTGAAATTTTCTCTAACGCTGGATTAACAAGTATAATGCATAATTCTATTTGCAAACAGTAATTTTATTATTTTTGAAAATTTTTATTTTAGTTTCATTGATGCCGCATCAAATATACCAGCAATGACAGCTGCATTTGATCAAGAATGCGCTAGTGTCACCATGGCTCGTATCGCTGTTCATAGAGCCGATACGGAAGAAGGCGTTGATGTACTTCGTTGGTTAGATAAAACATTAATTCGACTCGTATGTGAATATAATTTATCGTTTGTTGTTTTTTTGTAAATTTGTTTTTTTTTGTTTGATTTCAGTGTCAAAAATTTGCAATTTATGAAAAAGACAATCCAGGCTCATTTCAATTAGCCGATACATTTACGCTCTATCCACAATTTATGTATCATTTACGTCGTTCACAATTTCTTCAAGTATTTAATAACAGTCCTGATGAAACAGCATTTTATCGGTATAACTAAATCATACGTAGAATAATAGATTTGATAATACAATTTTTTTTTAAAATAGACATTATTTAATTGTTGAAGATCTTACTCAATGTCTAGTTATGATTCAACCTATTCTTTATGCATATTCATTCAATGGCCCACCAGAAGTAAATGGCTTCAGAAACTTTAGTGTTCGAGAAAAGAAACTTTTTGTTTTGTTTTTGTTTAGCCTGTACTTCTTGATAGTAGTAGTATATTGCCTGATCGTATACTTTTAATGGATACATTTTATCATATATTAATTCATCATGGTGAAAATATAGCACAATGGATTAAAGCTGGCTATCAAGATTTACCTGAATATGAGAATTTCAAACAACTTTTACAAGCACCTGTAGATGATGCAACAGAAATTCTGCAAAATCGTTTTCCTATGCCGCGTTATATTGTTACTGAAGCTGGTGGATCACAAGTAGATATATATATATATTAATGCTCTATATTTATAAAAAAAACATAACTGTTTCATTTAAAATCTATTTTAGGCACGATTTCTTTTGTATAAAGTAAATCCATCTCAAACACATACAAATTGTACATGGGGACAAGTAAGATATTCATAGATTATTATTGTTAAGAATACAGTAAAGACGCTTCACTTATTTAGGGTATTGCTGCGCCGATTCTGACTGATGATGTCAATTTACAAACATTTATGGAACATTTAAAGAGACTCGGTGCGTCTTCATCAACGTAATATACCTTTAATATTCTTTGCTGATGTGTGTTTGCGTGTGTTTTTGAACCTTTACTTATTTGTTATTTTTTTTTATCCGTTATACTTTTGGTGTGGATGTTATTTTTTATTTAAATGAATATGCTTATTGTTTCTATTGGTAAATAAAAAATATGGTTGTTGATGATCATCTACAAGTGCTGAAAACTAGTAATGAATGATAAGTGCTTTCATCGAAGTCATTTATCGGTTAAATAGATGGTCTTGGGCAATGTATTTACTCAGCAAACTGATAAAGTTGACTTTGTCTATCAGGATAAATGATACAATCGTGTAGCAAACGATTTTAGACTAATGAGTTACATACGTTTTTCCATACTTAGTTCACGATCGTAATGAAATGGTCTATATTAAGCAGTTTTAGATTAGAATTGATTTCAAGCATCAGTATAGTTTTTTTTTCTTCTTCTAGAAACAACACCTTGAATTTCTCATTCAATGAAAAACTAATAGTAAGGTTAAACAAATGAAAGAAATGTATATAAAGAGAAACATGCAAGTGTCAATATTTTCATATCGATTTATTAATGAATATTCTCGGAAGATGGAGAGAAAAGAAAGCAAATTCCTAGTCTATTGTATGTAGTAAGCAATGAATCTGTGAATAACCACAAGAAAACTAAGTCGAATCTAAGAAATGATAATTAAAAGAAACATGATACAGTAGTCAAGGACTCCCCAAAATTCGGCTATATCAGAACAAAATGGCATGCAGAAAATGAAAAGTAACAAAAACGGAAACAAGTAGTGTTAATCATAATCAAAAGGCACAAAAAGCATGTATATATATATATATATATATAGTATGTTCATTCTTTCATTTACATTGATTATAGTGCGTGCTTTTAATCTTAAATTGCATGATGTATGCTATTATAGCTACGTCAATACACGCATACGATTCGATTACAAACTTCGAGTTAGAATAATTTGTTCTATGGTGTCTTTTAGTTTATTCTGACTCATTTCTTGATGCAATAAGTAAGAAAAGAAACTGAAACGTTTTGCTTTCGGAAACCATTACGTTGTCATTACTAATACGATTTTATACATAGGCATAGAAATAATTGATGTTAAAAATATTTATATATAGTTTTCTATCTAATCAAATAATGCAATCTGGAAGATGATACCTTGCCATTGGATTCTTTTTTCAGTATGTTTGATGTAAGGATGAAATGACGATGAAAGAAATCTCAAAATCAGATTTCTTTCTTTGTGAGACCAAACGTTTTCTCTTGTCTTTTCCCTCCTGGTAGTCCCTCAGTGCCTGGCAGTCAATCAAAAAATCTGCAATGCTATCTATATATGGACAAACACATACACAAGGGTTAATTGAAAGAGACGTTCTTTGTGTTTAATAGGAAAAAATAACAAAGAAAAGATTCACTAATAAAGATGATGAGTGTCTTGTTTTCTTTCCTTTTCTATGTGCCTTCTAAGTATAGATATAGCTATTGGTTTCAGTAATCAAATTATCAATCGGTTGCTATGTAATTTCTTCCATCGTACAAACACAATGATATATAAATACACTTTTTGCAATAAGGTTTTCCCTATCAATGTGCTTCGCACACTCTAATTCCTTAGTATCCATATCTTTTCTATCATACTTAGGTATTCCTAATGTAACAAATCAGAACACTCTCTTATAATTTCTAATCGAAACGCAACACTTGCAGAAATGTATAGCAAAAATATATGATATGACTCTCTTCTCTTGTTCGATCTCGCGAGAGGGAGTATGTCACACTGTAACAGCATTTTCCCAATTGCCGAACAACACTTTTCCTCCTTCTTCTTCTCTGACTCTTACTCTTGCTCTCCCTCGCTTCTTGTCGCACAAGAAAAGTATAGAAAAAAAAATAGCAACATACGATGCACTACTATCAACATAGAAGTACACAAACGAATACACACACAGACTAAAAGAGAACTAACGATAGGAAATAAATTTTTGAATTAGTTCATATTAATAATAACTCATCATGTGCCACGCTTCCGCCATTTGTAATTAAACCATGCTCTCTCCATCGATCATTTTAATAATTCTTGTCACAGGTAAAAAAAATCATTTTCCACGTTGTAATCTTTATCATAGTAAGAGATTAAATATTAAAATTGAAAAAGAACAGATGTCTATATTACTTACATTGCGATAACTGAATTTCAATTACATTCATATTAATTTTTAATCTAATCGATTTATTATAGTCGATTGGAGTTTCGAACAAAAATGTAATCGATATCGAATTCGCACATGGAACGCTGAACAGAGGCTTATTTGTGACCTACTTGATAGTTATCAAGTTCGATGGGGTCGACCTGTGAGAAATACGAGTGAAGGCGTTGAAGTACGATTTGGTTTACAACTTATTCATATAAGTGACCTTGTACGTAAAAATAGAAGAAAATAATGAGGACGCTGATAAACTAAACGAAGATCTTTTAGGATGAAAAAAATCAAGTATTAATAACAAACCAATGGCAAATTTATGTATGTAATATCATTTTTTATCTTTTGATCATCATCATTATCAGCGTTGTTTGCTTTTTTTTTCAGGAGTGGGAAGATGAAGCATTAAAATGGTAAATAGAATAAATAGAAATATTTTTCTTTTTAGCTGATGTTTTTTTTTCTATTCTAGGGATCCAGCACATTACGGTAGATGAACTTGACTGATGAATTTTGAAGAAAAAAATACATGACGACGTTTTTTGTTTCAAAGATAATCTTAAGGATATACGTTTACCAATAAAACGCATTTGGCAACCTGATGTGACATTGTATAATTAGTAAGTTGTGTATTGACAGGATAGAAAATATTTAAAAATCTTTGCAAGAAACAAGCTCGATTAATTAAACATTTACAATTCATTCTACTCTTATGAAACAGATTTATCTTAACTATGTCCGTTTCTATGCATATATATGGATGATTAGAATAGTTAATCTAGCATAGTTCCATGCATCTAGTTCACTAAATTAATTAGTCGAAGACATTGTTCTTATTTTATCGTCTAGTGCTGATACACGACTTGAAGAAAAACGCGATGTATTAGCCATTGTTTATCATAATGGAACAGTGTTTTGGAAACCGATGTCAATTTTTAAATCGACATGTCAAATTGATATTCGGTAATTGAATTTGTTCGTGCAGGTAAAGGAAAGTTGTGTTTTCTTCTATTTATATAATTCTAGTCGTTTTCCGTATGATCGTCAAAATTGTTCTATGAAATTTGGTACATGGACATATGATCAATCAAAAGTAGATTTAAAATTTTACCGTGGTATAAAAAAGTTTGATCTTAATGCCTATGTTAAATCAAATGAATGGTCTATTGTTGGAAACAGGGCATCTCGTTTTACGGAAAAATATGGTAAGAATCAAGTTTACATATATCATATATCCATTATCTCTTTGTTTATTTCGACTGTTATTATGATTTAGATTGTTGTCCTGAAGTTTATGTTGATTTAAAATTTTTTATTAGTCTTGAACGACGTGGTGGTTTTTATAATTATATATTAATATTGCCTTGTGTACTTTTATCCTGTTTAACATGTATTCTCTTTTGGTTACCTGTAAGCTCAATAATTGAATAAATTCATGATTTTATTCTTTTATTTTCTATTAGCCAGAAAGTCCATCAAAATTAGTACTCGGTAAATCTAATAGCTTTTTCTTTTCTTTTTTCATCTGCTTCTTATATTACAATCACGATTGCCTTTTTAAATAGGAATGAATATATTTACATCATTTTTTGTGCTGCTACTTCTTCTCTATAAAAATATGCCATCCAATGCGGAACACATTCCACGCATAGGTAAAAGATCATATTCCGGAAAGGAAATATTTTTCTTCGGATAAAATTATTTCCTTTCACTTTAATGGAAACTAATGTCGTTTTATTCCCATAGGTGCATATTATTGTTTGAATATGGGAATGATTGCTACATCAACGTTTCTATGTACGATTGTAGTTCATATTTATTTTCGTGGTAGTGGACCAATGCCAGCCGTACTAAGAAAAGTATACTATTTAGATTAGTTTAGTTTTAAAAGGAATTATTTTTCGCTTGATAAAGGTTTTTCTTGAATGGCTTGCAACACTTTTTTGTATGGTACCACATAGAACTACACGTGAACCTCATGGATCTCATAGTTTAATGCCACCAAAGAAAGCAGTATGTGATAGTGATAAGTTTGAACAATTTGAATTACTCAAGGGACGTTTTAAATCGTTTGGAGATAAACATTTGCATACGACAAATGATGATTCCAATAATGAGAATATAGAGTTAACTATTGAACATGGACGTGAGCAATCAATAGAAGATCCTTTATCGGAACAAATTCAACAACAAATAACAGCATCACTTGCATTTATGACTGTTGAAACTGATTTGAAAGAAATAAGAAATTTTTTACGAACAACAAAAAAACGTATGGAAGATAAAGAAGCAAAAGCTAAAACAGTTAATGATTGGAAACAAGTCGCACTTGTTCTAGATCGAACCTTCTTTTTCATATATTTGACTGCTATTATAATATCTCTCGCTGTCATGTTTCCTAGATAGAATTATTTATTTGCTTTTTCTCCTCTAGTCTATGTATACAGTTATTTTTTATTTTTCTTGTTTCTGGCAATGGGCTGTGGCTGTAACGAAGATGTCAAAGATATTGTTCTATGCTTTTTTGTTTGCTCAATATTAATTGAAATAGACAAATATTAAACTAAAAAATAAAAACGACATCCGAACAGGTTTATATGTATAAAAACAACAGTTATAACATTGATATTTTTCATCAATTATTCGACAGTCGATGAGAATAGCGTTGATGAATAGCATACAAGAATTATAATTTACCTATTCGTGTCTCTAACACATATGTCATAACGAATTGGTGATAAACTATGATCATTAATTGTATTTTTTTTTCAAATAATCACCTAGTTTTTTGTGCGAAATGTTCATTTACATGTATTTCATAATCATGAACGATATCCGGTGTTATTCATTTTGAATTTCATTGGATTTGTAAGGAAACATATTTGGAAATAAACCATATACTAGAAAAACGGAGTTCATCTAAAAATAAACCTTTACTGTCAGTAACTAAAAATAATGAAAATACATTTTATTTTGATCTTTGTTAAATATTAACATGTCTCAAGTTTTCTTTATATACGAATGGAAGAAAAAGCAATTTGTCATTGAGGCTCTTGTAATCGTCGACAGAAGTAAGTCATACGATCAGGTAGGTTTCGATTGACTGATATTAGATTATTACCTTTTCTATAATATATAATAATATAAAAAAAGAAAAAAAAAGATTTTGTGATTATGACCGACAAAAAGGACAAATATATCATCTTACGAGAGCGCAATCATTTTTCGTTCTGAATTTTGATTTAATTTTGTATGTGCATTAAATCCCATGCATGAATGATCAGCAGAAGGAATTTTATAATAATGACGATTTGAATCCAATATTCGTTCAACTGAAAGTGGATGCTTTCAAAACAGATCAATAAAAAGAAAATGACTTACATTGAGCTTGACGGGTAACGTCATTGAAATGAAATTTAACATCAGTATTATTTTTCTATAAAAATGAACTTCATCATAGTTTATTTTGTCAATATTTTCAATTTTTTTTTACGTTTATTACGCCAGCAGCTGGAATAATTTGAATGTCTCTATCCATATCTGCCATTTCAGTCACCATTAAATACCACTATCGAAGAGTAAGAAAATTCTTTTCTAACTACTAGATATTTTCGAATTCGTTTTTTTTTTCTGAAATCGCATTGGGAAAAATCAGTGTTATTTGCTTTCTATTCAACAAAAAATCTCATAAAACTAAGACACGCTCTAACTAGAATTTCAAATGTTTTATTTCCGAAAACAAACTTCTACGTCGGAATCTCATTTATTTATTTTGCTCACCAATTTTTGAAGATATTCCTCTGATAATGACTGATGTTCGATTATTCCAGCGAATGTCATGCGTGAATTTCGTTGAACGTAAAGTATTAATTCATCGCGTTCAGCCTCATCGTTTTTTTCTGCTACATCTCCCCATTTAACATATCGTTCATGTTGATCACTATCACTATTTTCAATATGAGTACAATTCAAATGATTCGTAAGAGTTCTTTGACGCGTTCGAGGAAACTTTGAAAATGACGATGATTTAGGAGGTAAACAGATAATGTCTTCTGTACTACAATCAGTTTCACAATCATCTTTTTCTATGGGTATAAATGTAACTTTATCAATTGAATCATTCGAAAGTGATAAATCTCGATCTGAATTTTGAGATTTTCCAAGTCCCATAGTTGTTGTTGTTACTGATGAAGATCGTTCTAATAGAAATTTTCTTTTTTTATCATCAGTGATTGATTCATCATTCAACTTTGATGAGAATGCTATGCTGGATTTATCATTTGGTAGCTAAATCAACGAAAATATTTTAAAAATAAAATACGCAATAAAAGAAAGTGATAGTAACTTGTTTCACAGACTCAGATATATTTTCATGAGTGAATGATACATCAAGATTTATTTCATTGTTCTTTACAGATGAGATATGGTCTAATCGATCAGTATCATAAATAGTTATTTGTTGTGATAAACCAGTGGAATCATCTGGAATAATCGTATCATATCGATTTTCAATGTTGAAAGATTCCGAATAATCCATACTATTTGAATGAAAATTTATTGAAGAGGTATCATTTTCATTGAAGAATAAAGGCATGATGATATCGATTGGTTTTGATGATACTTGCAGGTTAGAATCTTGTTCAGTTTTTATATTTTTAGCATTTGAAATTGGTTGTAAACTCGATGGTCGATGGAGATGTATTCGAATGAGTGATACACCATTTTTTAATTTAATTTTTGCTCCTAATGAAACGTATATTGTATCTACCTAGAAAATATTTTAGTAGAAATCGATTCATAAACGTACAAGTCGATATTTGTTGATATTGATAGAAAATTTCAAGTTTAACTATCTTTTTTAGCTTGACAATGATTAATAGAATTATACGGATTAAAGTTGGAAAAACCATCTATGAAATATACTCGCTCTCAACGATGATTCTTTACTGTATTTTCTTCATTTTGTTGTTAGCGATCATAACTAATCCACTTTAATTGTATGAAAATATAACTTACAGGTAGATTTTGTTCCAAATTGAGTATCACTTGTAAATAAAATGTTTTATCGCTATCCAATGTTGAATATAATATTCTATGAATTGAATAATATGTATACTATAGAAGATTATTTATTTCTACTAACCTATTTTCATAAGCAAATAATCCATCTTTAATGGCATATTTGGATTGTACGTGCTGTAAAAGATGTTTCATATTTAATAAACATCGTGTATTATTCTATAAAACGAAAACGAAAACCAATGAACAGAAACATGATGTCGCGTTTGTTGCATTACTTTTTGTAATGGCGCATAATCAACAGTTGCAAACAGCGTTTGTATTGAACGATTTCCGTAAAATACATATTCTGTGATGGGTTTTAAGGTTTGTTTAAGATACATATGAATTTGATTAATATCGGGATGAGTCTATAAATAAAATAATATCTGTGTATAATTTTAATTTCATTTATCTATTTTCATACGGATTGTATATGATTGAGTGTTCCGTAGAGTGTATGAAATAATTGAAGAATATGAGTAAGATGAATATTTCCCTCATCTGAAGTGAATCGATCTTTCGATAGAACTAAAAACTAAATGAAAAAGAAAAACGACAATGAAAAATTAAATTCAGCAATCGTAATCACCACACTATGTCTTCCATAATGTTGACATATCACAAGTGATTTTTTGAAAGTAAATTCTTTTGGTACAGAAGAGAATAGATCATAATTGAAATATTGTATTAAACCAATAATTTCTGCACAATCGAGAAGCTTCTGGACGAGAAAAACACGACACATTAGAGTTTTATTTATAAAAATTTCATGAGCAAAAATTTTGTAGCATTCGATTTTTCTAGCTTCACACAGTTTCTCATGTCAATACTTGTCTTAATAGATCTTCTTTTGCTGAATAGAAATAAATAATTGATTCTTGAAGAAGATCATTTTCGTCTGTTGACTTTTTCATATGGTAAAAGTCGAATATAAAAAAGTAGGATATAACTTTATTTGCTATTGGTATAGCCATCTAAAACTTTAAGATAATGCTAAGATGCTGATACGAAAAACAAATGCGTATGATATCAATAATCATATTATAATTGAGTCGAGTTTTTCTCTGATAGTGAATTTCACTCAAAAAATCTTCTAAATATAGACAAATAAATAGTACTGCAATTCATGATTTATAAATAATTTATTTCTATGAATCATACGTTATTTTTCATTGTAGGCGAAAGAAAATTATGATATTTTTACTTCTTTTTTTTTTGAATAAAGATAAAAAAATAAGAAATATTTATTTATCTTTTTGTTCTGCATGTTTTTCGATTTGATATCATTGTTTGTTGATTGTTTCCAACAATGATTCTTCTACTATGAATTTTTAATTTAGAAAAATCAACCGTTTGAAAATGTAATGAAAGAGAAACAAAATTCTTTACATACTTAAAGTTGAATGAGAAACAAAACGCAGTTTACTTTTATTTTGTCAAGTCAGAAAGTACATACTGCGAAGGAAAAGATATGCAGAAAGATAACGATTCTTGTTTTTATTCAAATTACTATCGTTTACTTTGGCCTATTTTTAGGCTACAGAAATATAACGTTAAAATTCCGAACTTGATCTATGACAAAATCTAGATTTAAAAACAAATATTTTCAATTTATTTTATATTTGAACATATAAATTAATCGACATACTTAAACTCGTAAACTTTCAGAAAGAAAATGAACAAAGAAAAATCAACACTTTAGTTTTGAAATGAAAAATAATGGTAGATAATATATTCTTATTTTTACAAGTCTGTTATAAGCACGGTAAAAACATGATTAATAATCACAATTTGGCACGTTTCTCTAATAAATATATATTTTTCTTCACAAAAAATTGAAAACTACTGTTGTGTTTTGATATATTTCCTTTTTTTTCTCATCGAACAACTTTAGCAAACGAAAAATGTTTTGGTAAAAAAGACATTGCACAGAAGAAACGCAACAACATGACATGCTTAAATCTGTATGAATGAAAGCGATAAACAAACAAAAAAAAACCAGTTCAATTCTTCGCGAACGACATTTTACAAAAAAGTAAATTTCGTGCTGAACTATATACAAAAAAGAAACGAATAAAAAAGAATTTAAGTTATTCATATAAACGTTAAAAGATTCGAAGTAAAATCATTTGTACTGTTATTATTATTTGATGATACTGAACTATTCGATTGACTTGGGAAAAGATTTAAATCAAAATTATTCTGTTGAAAATAATTAATATTCCAAGGATTTAAATTTTCACTGGTCGATGAAGATGAAGGTAACGTGAACGTTTTATCATCCAGTAAATCATCAATTTCATCATTTAAATCGTTTCCTACTGGCATAGAAGATATGTCAGAAGGTGGCAGAAGTGGAGTATCTAAAAATATTTTAATTAAGAAAGAGTCTTTTTTTATTTTTAGAAAGATCTTACTCGATATTAACTGGTTCAGAAAATCATATGATGATGGTGGCGGTGGCGGTGGAGTTAGTAATGATTGAGTGGCTATTTGTAATGGTTTGGGGTTAGTGATTGCTGTTGATATTGATTGACGTATGGAAAAAAACCTTCCATCTGGCGTTCTTATATAGGCTCCGCTAGGTGATTTAATAAGATGAATTCGAATACCAGCTGGAATTACAGAACGTTCGAGTCCACTCATTTGAACTTCTAATGCTAAATAATTATATTGAAAACCAAAATCGTTTCTTTGTTTTATTTTAGTATCCTGAGTAAATCTAAGTTAATAACTATTGTTTCATACTTACGATTTTGAAGTACAACCAGTTGAATTGAAACTCCTTTTTGTTTTAATTCTTCTAGTTTTCTATCTGTTGTCTGTAAATTATTATACAGTGGAAAACGAGATTCGACCGTTGGAAACGGCGAAGGAGATGAATGTGGTTTATAGTCATTGAAATACCGCTGATTATTGTTAACAAATGATGAACTAAAAAATAAAATAAAATAAGGAATCACATTATTTTCGTTTTCTTCTTTACGCTCGTGGTGTACTATATCTTGATCTATTCGAATAGACACTTCGTTGTTTTTCATATTGATAGTCTTTTTGTGCACGACGTTTTTCAGCTGATGTCAATTGACTTTCTTTATGATCCAATAGAAGAGATTCGTGTGTAAACGGAAGTTTTGTTATTGATTGAGTATATTGTTTACATATTGACGATAGAATAGGATCGTCTGATATTTCATCGATTTTTGTTATCAAATCTGGTGCAGCTGTTTCTTTTTCAGTCTATAGCATTTTTTTTTGTAAATGTTAAAAAATATTACAACAAAATTCACTTTTTTCATACCGCAAAATGAATTAAATTTTGAACATGATTTTTAGTAAATTGAGTTTGCGGTTGTAATTCATCAACAACACGATCAGACATTCCTTGTTTTGCTATTTGCCTATCATAAATCCGTTTTTCCAGTGTAAAATCGGCTATTAATCGATATATATAACAATGTTTTCGCTGCCCATAACGATACACACGACAAACAGCTTGAGCATCGAGACACGGATTCCATGATACGTCCATGACAATGACTCGATTTGCACTTATTAAGTTTATTCCTAGACAACCGGCTCTAATCAAAGCAAAAAAGAAAGAAGAATTTATAAATGAAAATGTCACTGCAAATTACCTAGTCGATAGTAAAAATAATTTTACATTAGAATTTAAACCATTGAATGCATTTATTAATTTTTCACGTTCAAGAGAATTGGTGGCACCATCAAGTCCTAAATAAAAATCAATATATCATTGAACTACTTTAACTGTAGGATGCCGACATCAAGATCTATTTGAACATTTGACTTACGATAATAGTTAACATTTTTCTGCCATTTTTGTTCTGTATTAGGTATTTTACGGTGACTAAGAAAATCTTCTAATTTATCAAGTGATAATAAACTTTGACTGAAAGAATAAAATAAACTTCAAGTATAAACATGAGTAAAATGAAAAATGCTTTTACCTAAATAGAAGAACTTTATCGCCAACTTTAATAGATAAATCAATAATTGTTAAGGCTACTTCAAATTTAATGCCACTTGATAATTGACCACAATTGTAAGAATTTAAAATTGAATTAGCCTTATATTGAAGAAATCAATTGAATGAATTAATAGAATAAAAACAAAATAAAAAAAGCTTACAAAGTCGTAGTCAAATTCTCTTCTGTCCGTTGGATACATAGTTGTTGAAGCTTCATAAGAATTATTCATTGTTGTTGTTGGTAGCAATGGAACTGGTGATGCACGATTATCCAAAGTTAAACGATTATTTGATCTTATTTTTGTTGATAATGGTCTATTCATTGAATTAGAATTTTGATCGATTTCTAAATCTAGATCAAGATCAGATCCATCTTGACGATCTCGAACAAATTTATATAAAACATCAGGATGATTCCAAATCTATTTTAAAAAAAAGTCCGTGTCTTCTTAATTAAAAACTATTTTTATCATATACTTTGCAACAAGTAGCAAATGCTCTTAACGGATTAATTGTTCGTTCGGTCGGATTAGCTAGAGCACCGACAGCTTCAAGAAATTTCACATATAAGCTTTGTTGAACACTTGATAACTTCAGCAATATAACATATTCAGTTTTCGGTGGTAAGGTAGTTTGAAGTACACTATGTCCTCGTCTATGATTTCAATGGTCATTTTTTTAAACGTTTATAAAAGATTCATACGATTAAGCAATTACCTTTGAATAAACCCTTCAAGTAAACTATGTAAAACATGAGAACGAGCACGCATCAATTTGTCATCTTCGGTCGTTGAGTCAATACATTGACCATTGAGAATAGGACGTTCAAACATGTTACAAAATTCTTGTTTACTACCAAGATAATTTGGACGAACAAAATCCACCATACACCAATATTCTAAATAAAATAGAAAACAATCATTTTTATTTTTTGAGAGGATCTTTTCTTGGATGTTTTTAATGATTGAAAAGTTCGTTTTTTAATATTTTTTACGAACTGCCTTGCTATCATATTTACCAATGAGATTATTTTGTAGTGGATAACCGGTAAGAACAATACGTCGCCTAAAATACAATAAGTTTCAACAATCTATTTAGAGACATTCTCCTACTTTGTTTTTATTGATTTTAATGCCATTGCAACACTAGCTTGATGATTTTTTATTCGATGACCTTCATCACATATTATAAGATCAGGATTAATCAATGTATTTCTCATATCTGTATCAAAAATAAATGATTTCGTTGCATGTATTTGTCGTGTTTCTTTTACCTTCAATTATTTCCATATTTTTATCATCATCTTCAAGATCGCCAATAAACGACGTCGATGGACTACATATCTTCGTTGCTTTAATATTATAATTATTACTTTTTACAGATGTTCCTGTTTTCAAACTTTTCTTAGTTACCAATAAACGAAACATTTCGTAACCAATAAGAAGTGTTCCACCAGTTCGTGACCAACTTTGAACAATGTTAGCACGTTGAGCAAATTTTTTCGCTGCATCATTTAATATATACAATTGATACGGACGTTTATATTCAATACTGGGATCATCCAATGGACACCAGCGGTTAAATTCGCTAACCCAATTCTGTATTGTATTGATTGGTACAACAATAAGTACTGATTTCGCTTTTGTGTAGCGTAATAAAATATCAATAAATGTAATTACCTAAAAACAAAAACAAAAACGCAATTTTTAAGTGGTTAGAATGAAGGTTAAAGAGCTTCTTTTTATATACTTGTACAGTTTTCCCGCAACCCATCGAATGTGCAAGAATACAACCAAGACCGGGTGTTGCTTGAAAATGTTGAAGAGATTCAACGATATTATCATACATGAAACGTACGCCACCAATTTGATGAGGTTTAAGAATAGAACAAAGATGTTTTGGTATATACAAATCAGGATCATCACTCGGATGGTTTATATTAATTAATACATTGCCTAAATAATAAATGAGTAGTATATTAAATGTAATAGTAGTTGCTTACCATCATCATTTGGTACATTGACACGATCATCGACATGTAAACGTTGCAACCTTTTAGCTAATTTATCATTCACAAATTCAGTATCACCATCAATAGATTGGACATCAGAATCGTTACTATCATCATTGTCGTAGTCGTCGTCGTCGTCGTCGTCGTCGTCGTCATCATCGTCATCATCACGATTATTGACTCTTGTTTTACTTGTATCAATATAAGAATCTATAGAAAACTTCTAGATATTAGTTTTGAAGTTTTTATAAAATTAATTAAAAATTTCCGAGAGGTTTCATTAGAATAGTTGAACTCTGAAAGGTTTTCAGTATATTATTCAGTATAAAAAAGTTACTATGACCTCATTAGTTCAACTAGGACAATTCAGTGATTTTCCAATTTTTTGATCAGTATAGTATACAAGATATTTCATAATTAAAAATAACGTAAACATACATAAATGAAACAATTTATTTTACTGGCTAGTTATCACAAAACTCTCAAGTAGAGAAAAAACTATCTTAAGTTCTGATTTGTTTGGGAAACGCTTAGATCTAATTCTAATTTAACATAGATAATTATCGTTTTCTAAAACAATATCACGATGTTTTCTACCTGAATTTGTAGTTAGCGCTGATAAACTTCTTTGTTCATTTTCATCGCCATCCAAAATAATACATTCCTGTTCGTTTAATAATTTTTTCAATGGATTATAATAATTTGGTGGCACATTATTATACATTGGACTGTATATTTGATTTTGTTTATTAATTTCTTCCAATCTTTTAAGACGATCTTGTTCAGCTTTCAGTGCTGATAGTGTATCAACTTGCAATTGATCACTTTTATATAACTGTCGAATGTTTCTTCTCATATATGATGGTGCCTGTTTTGTTTTTTTGTTTTCATTTAAATCAGTTTTTTGTTCATTTTTACGTTTCTTTATGTTATTTTCTTCTTCTTTATTTACTAACGAGGATGTTTGGATTATCGGTAAAGAAGATTCATTTGTTGATATAGCTGGTGACGGATGATTGTCATCATAATTAACTGTTTCATTAAGATCAAAAACCCAATCATCAAATGCATCTATTTGTGATGAATCGACCATTTCTCCTCTGGTATATTAAAGTTAAATAATTTTAACAAACTATTTTAAAATATGATAAATAGAACGATAATCATTAATTCAATGATCCGTTTTTCGTTATTTATTATTTATGGACTTTTACTTCTTCCGTTCTTTCTTTTATTTGATCTATGATTGGATGTTAGTTTTCAACCAATAAGATACTCTGATCTTGTTTGGCAGAAACAAATGTTAACGAAAAAGACACCTTATCGCGAAATTCAAACAACGATCACCTATAGTGTTGACACATTTATTTATTCCATGAGTATTATGAACTTGAATTGTTTGAAAATGAACTTTTCGTACACTTTAAATATAGCAGATTTTGTTTAAAAACGAATCTTATTTCGGCTGAACTGTAGTAAAATCAAGGTATCCGTTGTAAAGACATTATATTGTTGCAAAATAATAACTATATTTATTTTTATATCAAACATGTGTTGTTTATATCATTTGTATTTTTGTTGGATTAATAGCGCAAAAACTTATGTAATCAATTTCTCGTGGTTTTTCAGATACTTTTTAGTCTAACTAATGAACAAAATACTCACTGAGCCATCGAGAGTTTCATCTGCCGACTATTCTCCTCGTCTTATCGACTAGTCTAACCATAGCTTGGTTACTTTTTCTAAGATACTTGTTAACTCTCGTAATCATTTCAATAGATAGGAATTTTCGCGTTTTAACTTATCTCTATTAAAAACTTTTATCGCATTTTCTTTGGTGTAAAAATTAAATTACTATTTTATCATGTTTGGTTTGCTACATGTGTTCTTGATTATGATAAGCATTGAAGTAGTCGAAACATTGAAATTAAATAAAAGAATAAATAATTTTAATAAAATTTTAAGCATCTTATTGAATAATAATTATGTTTGAAAAAGCCGCTGTCCTAGATTTAACCTTAAATAAAAAATAATCTTGTTTAAAAACTTCAACATATAAATGACTGCAAACAAAAAAGTATTGAATTCTTAATCGGTGCACCAAAACGACGTATAAAATGATATACCGAAATTTGTTTATCTTAAATAAAACAAAAACCTTCTCGAAATTTCGATCTACGAAGTGTCACGTTACGCACTAGAAAGACATGAGAAAGTTTTCCCAAAACAATGAGCATTTAATTGTGTATAAATCATACATATTTTAACTCTAACAAAACTTAGATTTTGCTCGAAATCACTTTCCCTATTATTTATGAACGCGCTGAAGCCACTGATGCTAGCCACGCCGTCTATCTTTGCTTAGTTTTCGAATTTGACTTTTTATTAAAGATGACAATCTATCTGCATATGTACATACGCCATACACTCCATAGCAGACGCTGGCCCGCCGATGCCAATGACCGAAGGTGATGGAAAAGTTTATTTGATTTGTTGAACCACGAAAACTTCATATACATGTATGAATTTTATTTTATAAATGACTTCTTTTTCTCTATAAACCAAAATTTTAAGTAAAATTTTACCATAATTAATATAAAAAATAGTTCTTAGTCATAGAAAATAACTTTTTAGAATAATATTAGAATTGTGATCTACAGAAAAACCTTAGACTAATAAATATTTGATACGTTTTCCAGATAAATATAATGAAAACCTATTTATCTAATAAAAACGCATAGAAATATTACCGTATCAACTAGAGGTTTTGGCAGACCACTTTTTCCAGTCAAGCCGGTTCGTAGAGTTTTGAGAGAATAGAATATTCTTCGTTATAATTTCGAAATTGCTGTTAGATTATAAGTTTGACTATATATCCAGAGCAGTTATTTGGAATCTGACTGACAAATATTCAAATCTATTTTGTGAAGAATTTTGTTTCCATGCGGAGAAGAATTACTGTACAGTAGAAGATGCTGAACATATATAAAAAACATAAGCGAACAAGAATCAAACCAGAAACTGGTGCTAGGAAAATTCATGTTGAGTGTCTGGATGTAAGCGTAGCTGTTTATATGACTGTTGATCTTTTATATGTATTCATCAACACTCGTACGGCAAACAGTATCTACACCCTAACGTCATATGATTAAAATCCTTGTCGGGCGACACTACTGTGTATCAGCATAGCACACTATTTTTTTTCTACATCTCTTTCATATTACTTCGCTTACGTATTCGCTCGAATTAGCTATACATAGCATCATGTTTGCGTATTAGTTTCATTCATGAATAGGGGTGGCACTTTACGTTAATTTAATATGAAGTGTTAAGTAAAACCACTTAATTAACTCTCTTAATTAACTCAAATTAAAATCAACGGTCCACCCCTATTCATGAATAGATCAGATGAGTCTTTCTGTTTGTTTCAGTTATTTTATACAATCGAGTGATGAGTCATTTCGAAAGTATTTGGTTTATGTTCGAACATAGCACGTATTGTATTGCTCGTTAGTAGCATTATTCATCTCTGTTTCTTTCTATGCTGTCGCTCATGTAATGTCATGAAGAAGGCGGAGCGGTAGAAACACAACCAACGTGTATAGAAAAAACTCAATTGGATAAAATACGCAGAAACCGTCGACGAAATGGGTTGTGGCGGCTGTTAGGAAAGAAACAATTATTGTTAAGAACCACACTCATTTTTTTAAACGTCATAATCAAGCATCATGAGTGGAGAAAAAGAAAAAAAGCGTGTGATTCTCGACATTGAGCCAAGAACACAATGGGAAAATGGACATGGATTTTGCGGTGAAACTGCACTTCAATCTATTGGTATGTTATTATTTCATGAATCATGATCTGCATATTTTCTTCGCATATACGTATTTGTTTAGGTTTGTACTATGGTTGTTGGATCTCACAACAGTTAACACGTTCGATTAATGAAGGAGAACTATTAATAACGGATGATGGAAACGATGCGGATACTCTTGAAACTCTTCTTTTCAAGTTTGAGAAATGGAATTTTAAAGAGGAAGCGCAACCTCAATTTCAGCGACACTGCATGTGGCTCAAAAAACATCTTGTACAACGGCATCCATGTATTATTGCCGTTTATATTGCCGATACAGAAGAAATAGATGATGATTACGATCATATTATGCCTGCAATTGGGATTCAATATAGTGAATCCGATGACAAATATGATCCACAAGATGCACTTCTATTCTACAATTTATTCGATTTGAAACTTCTCGAACGACAACTCGGCACAAATGATATGGTTAAGACTAGAAGAACATGCAAGAGTACGACCGACACTGGTGGCTGTCTTCCACAACAAATCAATTACGGCTATGCCATTTTAGGGATTAAAGATGAACAAAAGACTACAGTACCTGTTCGTCTTAAGGTCAGCATGTCACATGAGCCAAATTTATCAACGGGTGCTAGTCCAGTTATAATGCAAGGTACTATCGCCGTGTTTACTCTTGTACGTGGTCGAAATTATGCCATCCTACGCTACAATTCCTACAAACAAGTGCCAGAATCGGGTGATAATGAAGCATTCCTTCGTTCTAATTATCATAGTCGTCACGAATTTCGAGCTGAGAGTGACACTTACTCGTATGTCGACCCAGAAGGAATTCCGTCGAATGGTTCAACCTACTATCGCTGTGTACCTATCTGAGGCATACGCTAACGGGACGAAGACATTTCGTACCAGTGTCCCGAGCACCCGGTAATCCGTTGAGCTGCTCGGAATTGACTTTTGCCTTTAAAAACATTTACCAGGAGTACGTAACACATGTTGGTCAGGATATCGTAATTAAAAAAATACAGGGAAATCGGAATGAACGTTGTCCACATTTCATTCCGAACATCCTGCTTATTTTAAATTTTTGTCATTCCAAAGAGCATGTATGTTTTTATGTGTCGGGAAATCGTAATGAAAAGTTAGTGCGAAATGTCTCTTTCCCACGCTAACTCTGCATTTCATAAATGTTTTCTATTGTGTTCATTTCAATATTTGCTGAATCAAGCTGTTAAAATGTCACCAGTAAATTGTTTTTGACACTTATTCGAATCTAAACTACAACAGGTAATCTTTATCTAAGCAGAAATCTATTTATTATAGCATGCTTTACAGATGTTCACTATTAAATTCGTAGCTTGTGAAGTAGAATCTATTGTAAGACCTGTACAAGCTCCATTTCGGTCACAATTGCATAATCGTTTGTTTAGACTTCAAACTTCTATTTGTTGGTAGCTCTTCTAAATATGCCTGAAGAAATAACAATAGCAAAAGAGATAATATTTGTGTAACTTAAAAAATATTGCTTGAAAATTCTATTTTATACAAGTAAAGTAAACTTCGTTGCTAAGCATTTCGTCATTTTTACTACAGAATGAAAATGGTTTCGGGAGTCCTGTTTTCTCTCAACTAATCAATAATGAAAGATGCTTCTTTTCAAAAAAGTTTCCAAGCTGCGGATAATAAATAGAAGTGAGGGGCATTGTATTTGTTTGTGTGCATTACTTGAGGTATTACTGATACTGAAGGCTTGGTACTTATACTCGTACTCGCGGATCGGCATTCGTAATAAAAAAATCCGTACTTCGCTTACATTATATTTTTAATTATTCAACTAGTAAACAATGTAATGTTTCGAAAATATTTCATCCAGTTGTATGACGACTATTTATTGAATATGATTATTGCTTTTATTTGAAAAAGCCTTTCTTCAATATAAACTGACAAGTAGTTCAAACCTTAATCTAGAATTACTTGTTTTTTCCGATCCTTATTAAAGAGAAAAACATCTACGATAAAAATTCACAAGATGCAATATTGAGACAGGTGATATATAGACTCAAAAGCATATTTACATTAAGTCACATGATGAATATTGATCCTCATTCGGGATAGCACGATTATTCCGAGTAATATTAATGAGTGATAGCAGACAGTTCAGGCTCATTTTGACGTTATCGGATAGTTTGTGTTGGTAGTTCTTGATTACCTTAATTAGAAATTAAAAAAAAAATAAGCATCATCAATAATATCTACTAAGATAACATTGCAGATCCAAATGACAATAAATGAATTTCCAGAAAATACATCAAAATAACTCGAAAATTCAACGAAATATCCATGCATTCACTCTAGCAACTCATCAGTATGTACCTTCTGCGATTAATTTTACTCTTAGCAAGGTCTCTTTATGAATCTAATAAGCTCAAGTGAGTGTTAGCATTGAATGTGGTTTCCTAGTTCCTTTGCATGAAAGGTTGCGAAGACGACATGCTTTAATGCTGCATCATTCACATCCTCTAAATGCAACTAATTTTACAGGTAATGCATGCTATATGACTTCTAATTTAAAAGATTTACTTTCTTTCAAATGTTTCTATGTATGAATCAAACGTCCACGAAAGATGTCAAAATATTGACAGGAAAGGATTTTGCGAAATTGAAATAATATATAGTAAGAGAAAATCGATTCAAAAATTATTCAACAGTCATCCTGTAAGCACTTTTTGGCATATTTGCCGAGAGTAAACTATATGCTAAGTAGAGAGATCGAAATAAAGCCAATATTATCCCTACACCAATTTGAAAGAACATAATCGTATACGCTAAAATTGTATGAAAAAAAGGCGGCATATAGTAACAAATATTGTATAAATGTGAGGTTTAGGTATACATGCGTAAATATTCTTATTGGGATCTACTAATTGCAAATCAATATAAATGAGTGATGGACAAAAAAATAGCATCCAGAAAATAATACTGAAAAGTGCAATGTCGTGATCGATCGAAATATTGCTGAATTTATTCCATCTTCTCGAGTTTGATGTTAGTAAATATCGATTAATTGATGAAAGCACCATAAAATAAACATAGCCAATACTGGCATTACAATCGCCAGAGATGTTCACCCTTTGCAATAAATAGCAGATTTACTCGGTAATAAAAAGGAATAGTGATCGCTCATGAGATTTGTTAAATCACCAAACATTATATACATCAAGTCGAATATTGATGAGCATAAGAAGTAAAAGCCATATGCATTTTTACGCAACTCTATTGATGTGAATGTTAAGAGATTGCAAAAACTACTCAATGTTTCAAGAACGATGGTGAAACAAGGAACGTGTAAGGTTATACCACTGATCATTATGCTGAGTGTCACAATTGAACTCTCATTCATAGTTATTGAAGATAATTTGAAAAAAAAATGTTAAGGTTAAAAAACAATTTATACTAGACATGTAGCGATACGTTCAGGCAGTGAATAATAAAGAGAAAACTTTTTTATATTTTTATACTACATCACGAAGTACAGTGAATGAAAGAATCCGTAGATAATAACGCATTTTAATTTGTTCTTGACTTCGGGTAATCTCAAATGAGTAGTGGATGTCTATATTCGCCAAGAGAAAGATTAAAGAAACTTTACTTCATTTGCAGTGATAAAGTCATTATAAAGATAATCCTCTTTTTTCTGTGATATTCTATGCTTCTTCAACTAATATAATTAATGATTAACATGGAGACAAAGGGTGTGGGTGTATGGAGTGTATTATTTATTAGTCGCTCACACCCACACCCACACCCGCACTTTCTACGGCTTTCTACGTCCTGGTGAATTCAAGGTCAATAAATATAACGCTTCATGCAATGTAACATTTTCTGATATACGTTTAAATCGTAATTCGACTACTTTTCTGTTGCAACGCTCCAAAATTTGTTGATGTAAGTTTGATGTTTTGCTTTCGTTATTACAGTACACATAATTATTTATATCCAAGAAGATATCTTCGTACATATGTCCAATGCAGATCGAAACTATTTAGGTATCTATCATCAAACTCATATCCATTGCTTATTTTGTCGACTGGATGTGGTCTAACTGGACCAGAATTTGTAAAATGCTTAAGAAAAGTAATATTGAGCTTAGCGATCAGTGGTTCTCTTGATTTGGAACATTCTCGAAGTCTTGGTTTCACTTCAACGGTAGCAAAAGTTGGACTAGCAACTTATTTGATTAAAATTCTTGGTCACTGGTCATCGGAAGCTTGCTGATGTTATATTTGTGATTCATCTTCGACGAGTTCGAAGGTTTTCTTTCTTCTGTCCAATATCTAATCATAAATAGGGGCTTCTTTCTAAATCTCTTCGAATTTCTAATCAAATGGCTTTTTCAGCCTTATTTATCATGTCTAATTCAATATGTACTCGTTAAATATATTAATAAGTTTTGCTTGTTTCTCAGTTAGGAGAAAATAGGCGAATAAATCTTTATTTTACAAAAAAGCTAAAGTGAGTCGACTGTGTCGACGAAAAAAGCAAACAACAGGACGATCTTCTTTTGTTGATGAAGAGAAAAATAAAGAGAGAATAACAAGAATAAAGAAAATCAACATGAGTCAAGAGAAACGAAAGAAAGAACGAAACAATTATAACGCAACACGATATCAGACAGCACTTATCAGAGATGAGGAATCATCCTCATGACTTATTATGTAACAGTACTGTTGCCTTTCTCAATTTGAGCATGAATAACCGTTACGAAAGTTCTTTTTCTTTCTTTTCCTTCTATTTTACTCTATATTAAACTTACAAGCCAGTATACAGTAGCACACTACAAATAAATTAAAAACATTTCATGTTGAATCAATGCTCGAAGTTGTCACAGTTGTCAATAAAAAAAACATGCGACTGATGTTTCTTCTTGTGCGATTGATTTGAAGAAATGTTTACGTTGACTAAATATATATTTTGCACAAAAATAAAAAAAGTCAGGCAACACTACGGATTGGCAGTAAAATTAAAGGAATAATCACAAATCATGTAGACAAATGCATTCATATATAATTTGATCAAGCACCTATGTGTAAATCAGACTTTTGGTGATATCTTACTTCAAATTCATGATTTTCATACTGAACTGAAATCTTAAGGAAGCAAAATTGATTCAGTGGCTGTCCAATTCATCAGAGTCAGAAAAATTGAATTGATTTCGTGCCAAAGTAATTTCTGAACCGGCATGAAAGCACCTGCGCATTTTTGTTACCTACGCTCTCTCTCTCTCGCTCGGTGTGCACTCTTGAATTAATTTACTAGCTGTTCTTCAAACGACAGAACATGAAATAGAAAATAAAAAGCAATCATTTCATCGTCATTGATCGATAGTATTGTTGACTATACTCAAAGGTAAGCAAAAAATGCGTTTTCGTTAGTAAACACCTATTTTAAAGAAACGCACTCAGTACTCACGCAACGATCTTTTCGTTAGACTGAGCAGTCAACCTACCATCTTAGAATGTACATATGCATACTTTATAACATCCGCTATTGTTCGAATTGCTAACGAAATAAGTGTTTTTACTTGGTTATATTTTTATCTTCCTGACGTTTGTATACGCGAACCATAGACTTCACGTCTCAGCGTTCTAACATTCTTAGAATTCCATTTTTTTCTCAATGGGAAATTTCGGTCGTTCGACAACATTTAAACAACACTCCCTCTCTTTTGTCAGGCTTTTGTATCCTGAAGGTATAAATTTTTTATTTTGAATGAAATGAAAATGAAATGGCCCGATTGAAATCCGCAATAAAAATTTCGTAAATTTGCCCGATTTAACTTTTTCTAGTATTGAAAACATTGACCTACTGGAAGAAAGTGGATAAAGACATTGACTGAAGCTCATAAAAATTAAAAAACAAAACAATGTAATGAATCATCGTCATCAAATCTATACTGCGATGTTGCATAGAAATAATGTGATTAACAGAAGACTGATGGAAAGAACTAACTTATGATTCATTCGCTCTGTCGGTATGAAAGGGAAACGCTTTTTTTCCCCACCTTCACAAAACTTGTAACTTAAAAAATAAGAAATACTGGTAATCAACATTATTCGCGGATCAATTCATGCCAGATCCGAATATTTTCAGCAGATTTTAGCCAAAAATGCGGTGATATGTTTTAATGCTTCTCAGAGTAACTAAAGTAAAGTAGCTGTTCGAAAATTTGTTTCCTTGCGCTCTATCGCGAAAAATATTAATTTAAGTATGTTAATAACGATCAGGGTTGTATTATCTGTAAAATAGAAACAGGTCGATTCATTCGCTTGTAGAATCCGTAGCTTGACTTCATTAGATTTAGGATCTGAGCTAATTACATGCTAATCCTGATTGATAGCATTTCATTTACTGAGAATTTCAAGTTCTATGCTAATCCGAGTTAAGAAAGAGCCAACAAAAAAATTTACAAAAGACTATTCCAGTAACGGGTAATATCAGATTGTCATGGTCTTGGAGTGCATGTTCAAATACTGTTAAATGATGAATCAGACTCTGAAAAAATCTGACAATTTTTCACACTGGTAAACTGTTATGGATCCAACGATATTTTAAGAAAAGCTAAAGGAGCATGAGGCAATGTTTATTACTTGATTCGTTCAGATTTCGGATGAAATCGCACATGTCTCTAGACGATTAAGGGTGTCATCGTATTTAGAATTATTCGAAAACAATCTATTCAAGTATAAGCAACCTATTGATCCATTAAAATATTATAAAATGATCTCGATTTTATCGATTACGAGATTCCACACTTACCGGATGCACAAAACTTCGAAAACTTTGCATGTATATCATTCATTTCATCCTGAATAGAGTGGCTCTGTTCGTTATCTAGAGCCTAGTGTGATTTCCTATAGAATTACAAGAAATTTTCTGAAAAAACTGCCTCACACTGTTACCCTTTGTAAAAATATCTCGATATAAATCTCAATAGTTGACACTTGTGTCAAGCTATCATGTTCATGAGTGTTTTCATCTCAAATTCATAAAATTCGGCCATGTACGTACGGATCATGACAGTCTGGCTTCGTTTTCTATTCGCCCGAGTTATTTCATTTGAGCGCCAATTGGATTTTCTCGCCGCGAATTCGGATAGAAGTCAAATTTTTCAACAGGAAAAGATAAATGGTTGACATATGAGTTAAAATTCAATGCTTTTTTTATCACTTAGATTGTTTGTTCAGAGATCCTACAAGGTTTCGTTATACATTTGGCCCATGATACTGTCAACATTAGTATTCATACATAGTAGGTGCGCGGCGAAAAGTAATATTTTACTAAACTCCATTCCTCACAAAATTCACCGTGTTCTTGAGTCACTTCTTTTTCACCGTAGGATTTCTGCTATTTTTCATATCATCTCAAGTTTTCTCTCTGGATGTATCTGAATTTTGCTTGAGGTGACAAAGTATCCAGTGAGTAAAAGGGCACGAGAAGATTAATCAATTTTCTCCTTACTTGTATCGATGTTTCAACTGTAACGAAGACTAAGTGAATTGTTGTTCTTCAGAAATTTTTCAATTATTGAACACTTGCTGTTTTGTCACCAAAATAGTAAAACAAAACGGAAATTGAAGAAGTATTATTTTTCAAGTGAGGCATGCTTTAGTCTTTCGCCCTTTGCCATCATTAATAAGAATATGACACTTTCGACTTTATGAGAATCATTTTACTAAGTCTTTTTCCAGTTGATACCTATCGATTATGCAAACAAGCGAACGATCGACTTCAATTTATTATTACTAGAAACTAGATAAAAGCATTTTAATTGTTCTACAGTCGCAAGTATCTAATAAAACGATAGAAAACTAAAGATAATATTTATAAATATTTCGAAATAAAGTGTAAGAGTTTGATTCAATTCCAATACTCTCTCTTTCGCCCTATCTACCTGTATAGAAACTGATTTTATTGTTCCTCAATAGAAGCATGAGTTCACAGCAGAAAACTGACTGGCTTTCTATGTGCACGGATTGGTTAATGTACTCTCCTTTTAGATGTCATTTTTAAAAAATCTATTGCATAAAGGTGAAGGTAGTGGTGGTCAACATCATGATCAGAATGCGCAACATTCTTCTCCACATGGGTCCCATCCTCAGCAACAACTTGTAAATCAGTGGCCAGCACAAGGTAGGACTGATTTTAATTTGCATCAATAAAAACAGTACTATGGTCGTATTTCTTGTGAAGGGCCACCCCCACCTTATAGTTCCTATCAAGGCGGTTCTCCATATCAACAACCTCCACCACACAACCCTTATCAACAAGGTTATGGACAGCCACAATACAACAACTATCAAGCAGACCCATCTCCTTATGTCCCTCATGCGCAGTCGCCGCCTCATGAAAACTATGCTCCACATGGGATGATGCAACAACCGTGGGGCGAACAGGCTCATCAAGGTTACTCTCCTCCCCATTTCGAAGGTGGTGGACATGGGCATTACGAAAATCATGGACATCACTCAGAATATCAACAGTACCCAGAAGGGCACGGATATGATCACGAAAATCACCGTGGACATGACCGTGGGCATCATCATGGTCATCATCAAGAGCATGGACATCATAATGAACATGGACACCATCACGAACATGAGCGACATCGTAGCCATTCACGTGATTAAACTAGTACTATCATAGAACTAGAAACAGCAGGACAATAATCGTTTTCCAGAAGATTTCTGAGCGTTTCTAACAGTGAAACGTATTTTCTTATTCACTCATTCAAAACTAACCAAATTTATTTTTATGTTCAATATTTTACTTTTTTCTTATCATATTATACAGAAGAAAAACTGACGCAGACAGTTTCTAAGTATTTTCACTTAATCACTAAGTTCGATACTTGTGAACTTGTGAACAGCTACGCAATTGTTCTACGGTAAATCAGACAAATCTTAGCGAACCTGAATCGATATACACTTGCCACTTCGATTATATCAAGCTGAGCCACCGATATTTTTTATGATGCCATTCAGACATACTCTCATTCCTGTTATACACGTAATGCAAGAATATCAACGTGAAAACAACAGAACAATCTTCTGTAGCCTATCAGCAGAATCTGTTATCCATTTCCAAGAAGATTAGTATTAGGTATTTTTTAAATGGTTTTCGGTAAAAAAAATGTTAGTAGAGTGTAACTTTAACCATTGAAAATAATAAACTCCAGAATAGAAATGCAGTTAAAAATCAAAATATTTTGAAAAGTTGCCCATTCATTAGACATAGAGTTCGCGCAACGGAATGATATCGCTTGAAAATATGATATCTCGAGCGCGAATCATGGCATATAGCATTGATTTTCACAAGATTATACGGGTTACCGGACATATCTTTGTGCAAACTTCCAGCTAGAAATCCCACAATTCAATTTCTTCAACCACGGGCTACGAAATCGGAGGATTTTTATACTGCTTCGCAATGAAAAGTCAGAAAAGTCTTGAAATATCACGACTGATTTAGCCGAGATTAGGTTAAATCTTCTCTAGTAAAGGTAATGATGAAGAGAGTACTCATTCGTAATAATTCGACTAAAATATGAGTATCTGCGTACGATTATCCAGCACTCATCTTGCATAATCGAATATTTTGTGAGTACTCAGCATACATTTCTTGAGGAAGTCTGATGGATTTTTTGTAATATACTCACAGAGCCATAACTTTTCACGTATTGTTTTACTAATTTTTTTAAATTTTATTGAATAATTTCCATTGAACCATAAGCGTTCCTAATGCAAATTTGAGAAATGAAGATGCTACTTTCTGTTTTATAGCTTATAAAAAGAGCAGACAACTGCTTCTTATCTGCGGGCCAAAAGCAGCACACATAAAAAAAGTATTTGCATACAGAGTGGGCGTGGGCGTAGAGGTCGCTGCGGATGAAGAGATGATGCAGACTCACCCGCGTACCCACACCCTCAATATGGGCTCTCCAGCAAAATATCATCAATCAGCGAGTAGTTACCTCGACGAATTTCAGTGGTGCGGCATGCGAGTAAGCTCAGTCCATGCGAATTTAAAACATTTGAGCATTTATATATCGCTTTTATATTCTCCTCGAAATCATTTTTTATCTGTTTCACAACGTCAACTCGAGTCGTAACTGTTCGCTGTATAGCTGCACAATGAACGCAACAGACTTTTCAGGTATCTTATGAAGAAGTATTAAAAATCACTGATCGCATGGCAAAACAGTATCAAATCTTTATCGGTAGTGAAACTCTACCTCGTCTACTACTGCGGAATTTGATCGACGAATCGAAAAATCAGAAAGATCATCTGATACAACACATGTACACAACACTGTAAAAAATGTACAGAATTTGCTCGAACGATTGAGTATGTATGGAAAAGGTAGAAATGTACAATTCCTTCAATTAGTTGCCCTGAATCTGTTAGCATCAAAAGACGCATAATGACGAGAAAAAAAGTGTTCGAAACACTTATAGAACGCTATGACGAATGTTTCGCATATAGTTGTTTCATGATCATCTATGATCTCGATTCACTTGTTGGAATCAACAAATCTGAATCGGATTCTTCTATGGACCAATCCATGAGTTCGTTCGTCGTTAACCAAAGTATTGATACATATGTTCGCGCAAGATTTCTGGAAGTGCTCGTTGAAAATCAACAACGCGTACAAGGCAGTGGATCGCAACCGAAGATAGAAAAATGGGCAGTTGCTGCTATTACAGAGTCTTTTCTCTTGTGACAATTTTTGTCTGATGTTCAATTTGCGCGAACCCAACAACAAGAAGAAGAAATGGAGCTGCAACGAAGAAAAGCGGAAGATCTGCTCAAATCTGTTAAGTGTAGAGATCTTTACATCGAGAATGATAATAAAATGGGTAATAAAAAAATTCTTTATTCTAATTAATCAGGGCTCTACTTTTATATGAAACTGTATTCATCATGATGGATTCATATATGATAACACAGCACCTGATCTGACTATTCATACACAACATGAAGTGACGTTCGTAATAATTAAACTTGAATGCGATACGATCAATTATCCTGAGAGACGTGAAGAATTTGAGCGATGAAAGAATAAATTCAAATTAATATGTTGCGACGCGGCGGTAACAACAGGGTCTAGTCAAACTGGATGCAAGAAAGGCAAGCATAGCTCCGATGAGCAAAATAAATACAGACATGGACAAAATGAATGCCGTCTCGATCAAGTCACAATCAAGCGGTGGGAACAAGACTGTCGAAGTAATCAAGAGTACAATGATAAATGTCTGCTTTTGTTAAAGAAGCCAAGTTGAACTTAGACATTCTTAAACAGTATTTTGACTTTAAAAGACGGCGAGTATATGTTTGAAATAAAATATAACCGAGTTTCAGAGTGGATTTTACTAAAGCGATGAATAACAACGACATTCAGACTCGATTACAAGTTATTCTTAAGTAGCTATGAGAACAAGTCAATGTAGAGGGTAGGGTTGGTAGAAACTACCATAACCAATTTCGACGATTCCCTAGATAGCCATCATTAGATTACTGACATGTCTTTAATTCAATTTAAGTTTTGGAGGGAAAATTCAAATCAAACGCAGAGAATTTTCTCTGGCCTACAATGGCTGACTGATTCATTAAGATCTCTTTCTTAATTTAGATTTAGAAACAAAGTTGAGTCTCCAAAGTTTAAAGCTCAGATTTCATGTTCCAGAAAAGATAATCATCAGCTGATTTGAACTCTGTAATATTTCCCGAACGATCAAATATTGAATTCAATCGAAAATAAAGTCAATATAGAACTATATCAAGAAAGATATTAGTCATTGAAAGTATCCCACGGTGCGTTTCGACTTCCTTAAGGATCTCATCGGAAATTTTTGATTTTTTAAAACTATTGAAATGATCTGAAGATCATAGATATGCTACTTAATCTACAAATTTCATAGGAAAAGTAACTAGAGAAATCATATCTTTTGCAGTAGATATCGTAAACAGAGGATGCATTTATCTAGCAACCATTATCAAGATTTCATCCTGACTGAAGGAATCATCAGATGGCTTCAATGTTAAGATTGTTCAAGGATGATTCGAATATTATAAATAATCATAATACCATAGCAAACCACTTCGATTGATTTATGTACATGTTTTTCAGTAGTGTCGGAGGTTTTTTTCGCGTAGATTATTCTTTTTTCAGGTTTATTGTTACTCCCTCTTATTATGGCTGCTGAATGTGTAAAGTTTTACTGAACTCATCTATGTTTTGGAAGAAAATAGTGAGTGTAAGTTTTAAGATGAGATCTCTTATTTCTTCTCGCACCATCCTCATAAAAGGCATTAACCATCAAAAGTTCTTCTCGGTAATTAGAAAATACTTTTCTCATTGTTCTATATGTCTCTTCACGATGACAGAGAACAGTTATAGATAGGTATGAAGGATGAACGATATTCCATAAAGTACTAAGGACTCCAAGAAAGGATTCATTATGGAAATAAGGCATTATGTATAGCTCTTCTAATAGAATTCTAGAACGATTTTCAAGATTCAAAAATTTGTTTAATTGGTTCAAGCCTGTTCATGACGTACGCAACTTTTGAGGCTTTGATGAGCTCAGATGACTTTAATGTGTTTTTTTGGATCAGTATACAATAGCCTATATAATTGCTTTTTGTAGAGTTTCCGAGAATACAAGTCTTTCTTAGAGTTCATTCCCGCCCCGCAGATTTTATTTTTGAATACAATATAAAGAATAATATATTAAAAATATCAAGCAAGCAAGTACCAAAGATATGTTTTTTTTTACGCAGAAGCTGATTCTACAATTTGTTTAACAGACAGTCCACCTAACAGTGCCAATTGGCTGATAACTAGTCCAAATTGTTTCTTTAAACCAGCACTTAATTCAACAGCCAAAAGTGAATCTAAACCTTGTACAGTCAATGATTCAGTTGCATCGAGATTTGATGTTGCTAATAATGTTGAAATATAGGCGCTCACTGATTGAACAGTTACTTCATTACCATTAGATGAAATACCTGAACTACCGTTGTTATTTAATATTGTATAATCAATTAAATGTTCTAGCCGAGTTTTTAACATTGGATATGAACGGATTAAATCTTCCATTTGAAAATTACCATATAACAATTGATGATCAATATCATCATTTAAAAATACATGATCAACAAGTTCTGCAACACCCAACGATGTTAAACCACCAGCAAAACCTTTTGCGGTTAGAATTTGTTTTAATTTCCAATCTTCAGCCAGAATACCAACATCTTCAACAAGACCCAAATTTAGAACTCTTATTTTTTTTCTTAATAGACTTGAAAGTTGGCCAGCATAGACATCAAGAAATGTATTTGCAGCACTATAATTTGCTTGCGATGGATTACCAAACGTTGAAGCAGCACTGGAAAAGAATATTACATTTTCAAGTTTATCATTAGGAATCGCTTGAAGTAAATTAATTGCACCTTGTACTTTACATTGTATTACATTTTGTATACGATGAATATTCAATTTTGAAATGGATGCATCATCAAGAATCATCGCCAAATGAAGAATACTGTATTTAGATGATGAAATAAACAATTTTTCTTGAGCTTCCTGTAAGACACGATGAATATCTTCTAGTTTGGCTACATTAGCTTTGCCAATGTAAATTTTAATATCGAACCGTTCAAGACGAGCTAGCATCGCAGCGTCAGACGGTCTTAGACTAGCTGTACCTTGACGAGATAACAAGATAAACTTTCTAGCGCCTTTTGCGCTCATATGCTGTATCAATTGAAGACCCAATGCTCCTGTACCACCACTTAGAATGTAACAAACTGTTGGATTGTAGATAGTTGACGAAGGATGAATGCTTGACGGTTTACTTTGCATGTTTAAAATTAATTTTCCCTTATGTTGACCAGACATCAAAAAACGAAACGCCAATTCTGTATCTTTTAATTCATAAATACAATCAACTATTGGTGAAATTTGTTTTTCCGACGCTAACTTCATAACAGCTTGTAAGTATTGCTGAATTTTATCTGTTTGACTCTGCATTAAAATGTCAAGTTGAACACTCAGGAAACTCAAATCACGCAATAATAAATTCATATCTAATATAGAATGATTCAACATATCAACCTTACCAATTTCAATAAAACGACCGCCAGTTTTCAGGCATTCTAAACCAGCTTTGATTGCGTCACCTTTCAACGAATTTAAAACGACGTCAGCTCCTTGGCCGTTAGTTAGTTTTTGAACATCCGATTTCCATTCTTCGGTTGAATGAGAATTTGCAAATTGAGTACATCCATAAGTTTTCTTTAAAAATTCACGTTTTTCATTGGAGCCAACTGTACAAATAACATTAGCACCAATATATTGAGATAATTGAATGGCAGCCTGGCCAATACCCCCAGCAGCTGAATGAATGAGTACGGTTTCGCCTCGTTTTAGTTGAGCTTTAACAATCAATCCAGCATAAACTGTTGCAAATACAATGGGAAGTGAGACTGCATCCGTATGAGATAAATGTGACGGCTTTTTAACAACGAAATGTTGATGTGTTATGATTTGTGAGGAAAAACAATGATTAGCAAAACCAAATACAGGATCACCAATATTAAATGTATGTGAAGCCATTGAACCGAGACCAGTGACAATGCCACTGAATTCTAGACCAAGATTTACTGAATTTTCGCGATACTTCAATGTTTCACTATCAAAACCCATTGGATTTTCTAACATTCCCAACGCTAACATCAAATCTTTAAAATTTAATGCCGATGCGTGTACTTCTACTTGAACATCATCTGGTGACAGTGATGAAGAACAAGGGTGAAATGTACAATATTTTAATGTTTGTAATTGGCCAATGGTATCAATTTCAAGACGAAATGGTTGTTTCTGATATTGACTTGAACATACATAAGCTAAAATAAAATATTAAAAAACCAAATATATACTTTCTAGATGAAACTACAAAAAAAAAAGTTTTAAAGATCAATTTAACATACCTTCTTGATCAGTAGTCGTTATTGCCGTTGTAATTGTATTTCTTAAAATTCGACGAATATGTCGTGGTACAGTAATTTTACGTTGACGAATAATAAATTCTCGTTCACTTGTATTTTCGACCATTGTTTGAATACGATTTAACCACATTTGTTTTTCCTGTAATTCTAGATAATCAAATTCAATTGAACAAATTGCATGTTGTGTAGCTTCATTAGCCCAAACTCGAGTAAATCCAGTAAACATTGCTCCAATCGGTGGAGTGGTTATTAAAGTAATAACAAAGACAGTTGCTGGCTCTGCTACTGTAAGTAATGATTGAGCTAATTCTAACAGTTGTTCCATGTATGAATTAAAATTTGTTAAACTAGCTTCAGTTGTATCAAATATGATAATGTTAGAAGAAAGTGTTCTGATAGTAGTAGTCCAATCTGGAGATCTTGCAGTCAATAGTGAATGACCAAATTCTGGATGTCCTTCATTTTCAATTTGAACATATTGAAATCCTGATTCAGTTAACAACTGATTCCATTTGCCAGTGGCAAGAAAACATGTTGATCTTGTAGTTATATCTGAAAAATTCCACCAACCAGCAAATAAACCAAAAAAGAATTGAATCCATGTCCATGGTCGAGTTAATTCAATACACAGAAGATAACCATTGGGTTTTAATAGTTGCTGGACGCGATTCAAGCACAATTTTAAATCTTGTGCAACATGAAGAACATCAAATGCACAAACAACATCAAATGAATACATGTTTAATTTCTGTGTTGATAAATCAACATCAATATTACACGATTGATATTGAATACATGGATAGATTGTTGAGAAACGTTTTTTAGCATCCAACAGAAATTTACCACTAACATCAGTGAAAACATAAATTAATCGATTTTCTTGTATAATTGATGTTTGTTGATATAATTTCTCCAAAATAACGGCAGTAAGAGCACCAGTACCAGCGCCTAATTCTAAAATTGAGAAAACACGTGATGACTCAGTGGGTTGTTGCTCTTGTATCATCTTAAATTGATCGACGAGTTTTTGAGCAAGAATATGAGTATATGGTTGAAATGTCATTGATTTTGAGTAGAGATCAGCCATAAATGAATCGTTGTCACCAAAAAATAGATTTTGTACAGCAAAAGTATCACTAAGAAGAAGATGTAAATTCTTCCCGACACGATGAATTGCTTGTGCTTCATAATGAAGTGCTTCACTTTGATGGTGATCAATTAATTCAATCGAATCATGTAAAATTGTTTTTGATTCTATTGTTGAATGTAACCATTGCCAATAGCGTTGACGATGGATGGGCCATTTTTCAATTGTTTCCAAATCAAATGGATTCGAGGCAAGGAATTCAGCAATGTATGCTGAACATGCATTATCAAATAGAGTTTCTTGTTGTTTAATAATTGTTGGTATTTCTAGTATATTTAACTGTGATTTTGTTATTGTTGTTATTATTGGTGTTTCAACAGTTTGATAACAAACAGAATAGAGTGGTTGTGGTTGATTCAATTGTCCTAATTGTGTTGCCTCAAAACCAATAATCGTGCCAATGAGACGTTGTTGTTGTTCATCAACAACGAAAATATCACCTGTTAAAATGTTTCTAGAGTCCAAATTTGTTGCTTTAGCATACACATATAAATCATTTGGCAATTCATTTGTCTCAATTCTCCATTCAATTTGTTTAATAAACGTTGGCACGTACGCGGCATGAAAAAATCTTTGCGTACCTAACAGAACTTGGAATGAACTATCTAATATTGCTGGATGAATATGAAACTGTGATTGTTTTGAGTTAGTTAATGACTTTTGTAAATGAGAAATATTTAAATGTGCATATGCTTCTTTATCACCTTGATGGAGAGTTCGTATACATTGAAAATACGGTCCGTAATCTAAGCCAATACTAGAAAATCGTCCATAAACATCTTTTTGTTCCATGACAGTCAAAGAACAACGTGATTTTAAATTGTTTGACCATTCTGGCAATTGTATAGAAGAAGCCGAGTCACCTTTTGAAGCCTTCATGTGTTCTGTCCAATGACCTGAATCGTATTCATTTAATTTTGAATACATTGAAACTTGCGATTGATTATTGTTTTGAAGAACTATTCTCACTGTTCGATAAATATTCGGATCAGATGGTATAATCAAAGCTTTTTCAATATGAACATTTGTTAAACTCATACAATTAAATACTTCCATACAAATTTCAATGTAGCCAGCTGCAGGAAATACAGCTGGACCCTGTACACGATGATCTGGAATCCAAACAAATGACTTTGACGATAGCTTTGTTTGAAAAGTTGTGTGTGGATGAGCAAGTGGACGACCCGCTAAACTATGCCACCTCGGAATTGTACGTTGAAACCGATGTGCTGGATCTTCTTTAACACAATATTGACGTTGAAATGGATAAAGTGAATAATGTGGAATCCGTGACTGAGGCATCATCGAAGAATATAGTTTAGAAATGTTCGCTTGTGCTGGTGAGTATCCATAGATACGTAAATTAGTAAGAGTTTTTAATGTTGTTTCAATTTCTGATTGTTGACGATGCAGTGTACATAAATTATATTTTGAACCATTTTCAGTCAAATATGAACTCAGAACAGGATGTGCTGAAATTTCTAGAAAAGATGCTGCATCGGTACCAAATCGTTCTAAACATGCTCGAACGGCTACGTCGAATAAAACTGGACCTAGAAAAAAAACAGTCATTGGCCATAAACTAACTATAGATGAATCTTTTCAATTTCGACAAAATTTCAAATCTTTTTATTAAAGCTAATTGAAAACAAAATAACAGAAATTCTCTTTAGTATCTACCTTCCATTCCATCGACCGTATAATTTTCATCAAAATCAAAAGTTTTCCATTGCCCACTAACCGTACTAAAATATGGAATTGTAGGTGCTGAAAATCCAGCCAGCGTTTCTTTAAACAAAGATAGAGCTTCTGAACGAATCGATGCCATAAGTGGGGTATGAAATGCACTGTTTATTTTCAATATTCGATTAAATATATCTTGTTTCGACAATTCATTTGAAATGCTTGTTATTGATTCTTTGATACCGCCTAATGTTATTGAATTTGGACTATTGTAAGATGCAATCCATATTTGTTCATGTGTTTCTAATAAGGATTGAACATGTTCACTTGAACAACTAACTGCTAACATAGCACCGCGTCCATCCATTTGTCGTAAGATACGAGCACGTTGATATGCTGTTTGAATACAGTGTTGTCTCGTGAAAATATTTGCAGCATAGGCTGCTGCCATTTCACCAAAGGAATGTCCAAATACTGCCGCACATGGAACACCTAGATGTCGATACATATCAACAAGCCCGATTTGTAAAAAGACGAGAGCAGGCAATGTATATGCTATGTCATAGACGGCCATTGGATTCGGTCCATTCATTGAACCGAATAATCCTATATCATGAATGAGACTGTGACCAGAACACTCACGATAAATTAAGTCAGATGCGTCAATTGAACAGCGAAAACTTTCAATATTTGCATAGAGAGTTTTGCCCATTTTGGGATGTTGTGGACCTTAACACGTAGCACAAACATGGTAAAAATTATTTTAGTAAAAAAATAGATAAGTGAAGCATTTTTCCATTGGAAACGATCTTCTGTATATTGTTAGAAGTAAGTTGATGAAACTCTTACCCTGGCCAGCAAACACCCAAATGCAAGTTAGTGACTGATCAACACGTTTTCGAGTGGATGTAAATGTTGTGTTTTCATCGAGCTTTTCATCGATGGCAAATGCAGTAAGACGATGTAATGAACGGTTATAAAGCGTATATGAAATTGCAGTTGGCGAATGAAATATTTTTGTTGATAACTTAAGTTCTTGAATTCGAACTTCTAGAGCCTGCGGTGTTGACGCAGAGACAAGAAATAGTTGTGGTGAAGATGAAGAAGATGCCAGTGATTGTTCTGAGGACCGTTTATATCCTTGAATAATTACACAACCATTAGCACCACCAAAACCAAAACTTGAAATCATCATCAATTCTTCTTGATTTTGAAATTTTTCGATTTCTGTTTGAACCGACAATTTATATTGTTCGAATTTGATATCTGGATTACCTTCACCTTTCTTAAAATGTATATTTGGTATTAATTGTTGATGTTCAAGCATCAGAATACATTTCAATAGACCAGCCATAAAACTTGCTGTTTCTAAATGGCCAACATTTGATTTCACTGAACCTATGCGTAGATAAGATTCTTGTCGTCCAAAAACTGTTCCAATGGCATTCGCTTTAAAATATGAAGAGAAATATAAACACATATTTTACCTGAAAAATAAAACACTAGAATAGAATCTATATACCTTCAGTTGGATCGCCAACTTTCGTGCCTGTTGCATGTGCTTCAGCAAAGAATATTTCTGTTGGATTAACTTTTCCATTTTTACAAGCCATTTGAAAAACTTCGACTTGTGCCTGTGAACTTGGCATTGTTAACGATGGAGATATATGACCATCTTGATTAATTGCCGAACCTCTGACACGACAATAAATATGATCATTATCAATCAAAGCTTGTTTCAATGGTTTAATAATAACAACCCCACAGCCTTCTGATCGAACATATCCATTTGCTTTGTTACTGAACGACTGGCACATGCCATCGGGTGACAGAACACCTAATTGTGAAAATTGTATGAAAGTCGACGGATTCATTATTATGTTAACACCAGCTACAATAGCTGCCGAGCACGTTCCATCTCGAATAGCTTGACAAGCTAAATGAAATGCAGTCAAACTGGATGAACAAGCAGTATCAACAGACATCGATGGTCCTCGCAAATCAAAACAATAACTTAAACGATTTGATGCTAAGGATAATGCTGATCCGGTGACACTATATGGATTAATACTTTCTAAATCAGCTGTGGTCAGCTCGTACTGCTCAGCTTGTCCAATGCCAACATAAACACCGGTTTTTGAACCTGCATACTGCATTCCACTATCTTCAAGTGCTTGTAGAGTTACTTCCAATAAAAGTTGTTGCTGTGGATCCATATTTTCAGCTTCACGTTTGCTAATTGAAAATGATTCACAATCGAATTCACCAACAAAATCAATCCAACCACAACGAGCTGATGGTATTTTAGCTGGTAAAAATAGTTCATTTGATGACGAGTCCGTATAAAAATCGGCATTCCAACGATCATTGGGAACTGGGCGAACACAATCTTGTTGTCCAACTAAGTTCGACCAAAATTCATCAATTGAATTGCTGCCACCTGGGAAACGACATGCAATACCAACGATAGCCAAATCCTCATTTACGATGGTTGCCGATGATTTTGATTCTTCAATAATTGGTAATTGAATTGCAACATCTTCTTTGGGCGATAAATCAATATTAAGTTTTAATGAGCTCATTGAGACGTTTTTCGTTTGCGAAAAAAAATAAGGCAGTCAAACTAAAAATAGGCATTGATGTTTACAGTGTTCTTTTCAAATAATCTTTTTTGTGTATTTTTATTACCTTTTTTTACCTGATGTAACGTTCGATACTTCGAGCGTATAAGGATTGATAAAAAGAAAAGTTATGTCCTATGATAGAGAAAAAGGAGAAAGTGTAAAATTTTTCTTTCTTCTTTTAAAGATTTTTTGCTCCTGTCATATGGTGACACAATGGTGCGTTTCTCGTATGACCGCCCGCTTTTCTTTTTCTTTCCCTTTTCCTTTTTCCTTTTTCATACATCATGTACTAACCTCATGTATCTACCTTTCATTTCCTTAGTATATAATATATACTATAAGATTGCACACGAATGATATTATCATTTCAAAATGATTGTTGCTAGTTCCTGTACAAAAAAGTTTAGTAACTACATTCTTTTAGATAATCCCCAATAAATTCTATCATGGGTATCAAGTAAAACCTGTCGGTTGTAATTCATAGGTAGAAAAAAAATGAAAAATACTAAGATGAAAAGAACGTTCTCTTTCTTTTTATGGCTAATCATTTTTTAATCTTTTTCTGATGTTCTCTCGTTAGCATCAGCATATCATGTGTAAGATGAACTTTGTATTTTTATAGAAGAAAAAAAAGAAAATGTTACGGTGTAATTATGATGAATGTGGCCTTGTTTATTGAATGAATCACTTGTTTGCCTTATTAGCCAACATCACCCTTATTTCTTTATATGAATATTAATTAAAAGCAAAGATTGACAAAAGGAACCATTGTCTATTTGATCTAATACTAATTTCTTCATTATTGTTAAATATTTATCACTGTGATGCACATTATTAAATCAGTGTCATCACATTCTACACTGAAAGTTTCTCTTACGATAAAGATCGACTTGAAAATATAAAAAAACACTCTAGAATCAGATCAACATGATAGTATATCAGTTCTACAATACTGGCAGACATAGTCAAAAAACAACGTTTAATAAACTTGTAATTCTCTTGCCAACAACTCGAAAGCAGGGCGTGGGGTTTACCCAATGGGGAACAAGTGAACTTCTGTACTTCATGTACTTCTTCGTACTTTTAGTGTTTCTTTGTACTTCTTGGTACTTCAAAAGTGTACTAAATTAATTTTTTTACTTTTACTTTATAGTAGTACTAGTGCTATGTATTGTAGTGTACTACGTGATTGGGACCGTGAGTAAGAAATGTCTTTTGCTTGTGATCGTGATCGTGATCAAAAATTACAATCACACAGTACACTAGTGCTATGATGTCCACTTTTAATAATTATTTTAAATAACTTCTGAGCACACCAATACAGAGACGGCGGAATGATTCCAGTCTAGGATAAACTCACTTTTTTTTGGAAAATTGTGCCTGTCCATGTAAAAATAAAGGATTCAAATTTGATTTTTATCATAAGACTTTAATTTTTTTCTCTATGACTAATGTAAAGTTTTAACGTAGTTTGCACCAGCTACACTCTCGTTTTTATGAAGTCTTAATCGAATATAGTCAGTGTGGATTGTGTAATCCATGAAATTTCGATTTTTTTAACGTTCTTTTTGATAAAAATGCTTTGAAAATTGATTAAAACCTCATTAGTATAAAAAATTGCTTAATTCATTTCAATCTGATTTCAGCCGTAATTTTTTATTTATGAATGTGAACCAATTGAAAAGTATTTTTTTTACAATGATGATAGTTGTCGATTTTCTGGCTATATTTTGATTGTTTATAAGCGTGATAAGTATCTAATGTATGATTGCACCCAAGAACACAGAAACTAACCAATTAACTGAAAAGTGTTATTGAAAGAAGCATTAGAAAAAATAGTCAAACAAGAAATTGATTGTTCCATGGCTAAAAAAAAGTGTTCTAGCTGGATTTTTTAAAATAAATTCAGTGTAGGTGCTTCATCAAGTTGATACTGAGATTTTCATTGACTTTAACTCTGACATTTCTGTTCATAAGCCTGACTCAGTTTTAGTATCATTTGAATTGTTAAATAGAATTAAACTCTAGAAGATGAACTTTCATGAAAACTATTGGGCTTCGTGCTTTATTGTGAAAGAAAGATAAAGTCTGATTTTGTTATCTGGTATCGTGACAGGAAAGGAGTAATTGTTTCAAATATTTAGTAATGTAGTGAAAACCGACAAAAACCAATGATTTTACTGATCCATTAACCGGCTCTATTACAGTCATTAGCAGGCAATTTTTCGAGCAAACTGCGATTGACCTCTACAATTTATCTGGCTTTTGTGACAGGGATAAAATTCAAAAACTATTCTAAATAGAATATTGAGAAAAGAAATTCAACTGTTCTATGCTAAGAAGAAACAATTCGACGTCAATCTAATTACATACCAATGAAACTCAAAAAAAAAATATCATTGAACAAAAGTTAGAACTAGCTGAAATATGGACTGAAAAGCTTAGAGTATGCCATTGGCCGAAAAACTATGAAAATAAGTATTAGTAGAAAATTTTTATACTTTGTTGACCCTATCAAGTCCTTGGTGTGCCCTATTTGAAGTTTGCCTAAATCTATGTTAGACTCGCGTCTACTCCAGCCTTTATGTATCCTAGTTTGAGTCGACCCAGGTATAATGACTCCGTCACCACTAGCTTGCTGGTTATTAACTGATAAAAACACGCGTTTGTCAAATGATCGACTCTCTCGAGTGATTCAATCAAACCGCAAAGAAAATAGCAATCGTTTTTAATGCTTTATAGTTATGATTAAATTTTTTCTTTCAATTAAATTTGAAAAAATTTCTATGCATATTCATGTACCTATACAACTCTCATCATGTCTTTCTGTACTTCTTTTACTTCGGAAGTACCGAAGTTCGCTTGTTTCTCCTTGGGTTTACCTCTTCTATTGACCTACAGTAAACCACACATGTACACCCTTAGTATTTAAAAAGTTGACTTCCAGCAATTGATTAGTTTTCGAGAAACGTGAGAACGCACTTGAGTAGGTGGTCGTGAAATTCACTAAATATGATGTCTACTGGAGCTGCTAAATAGATGTGATTGTGTGATCATTAGGTATAAATATACATTCAGTTGATACAAGAAAGAAACATCGATCATAATATTTGTCATAGCGAAGATTTACTACATACTAATTGAATTGTAAACTATAATTCGAACCTTATTACATGAATGAAAACGTGCACATTTACCAATATCACCCAGTTCTAAAACATTTAACAGGTGCTGTATAACTTTCCAATTGCTACGATCAGTAATATCTAGTCGTTTAATGGGACGGCCTTCTTTTCTATAGGTTAAAATCAACATCATTGTAAAACATGTACATGATTGCAAGTGACAATTTTCATTCATTGGGTGAACATGTGTCGCTGCCGTAACAATTAACCTTTGCTTATCTAAGGTGTAGCATTTTGTTTATGTTATTAAAATAAACTGATCAATATATTTTGAGTGACATATATCTTCTATAGAATCGTTGTCACAAAAGATACGAAGAAACCTAATTTTTCGAAATACGATTGGATATGAAAGTTGAAGAGTATAGTGAAAAAATATGCATCCCTCCTTGGGCCAATCTCATCCATAGGTGTGCAACGGTGACGGTATTCGTCACCGGTTTCACCGTGACCGTTCCCACCGGTTGTTACGGTGCACCGTCACCGGTCTCACCAGTTGTTACGAATCACCGTCACTGGTTATCTTTTCCAGCTTTTATTGAAAAATAATGATTTACAACCATTTATCGTGGTCTCTAATTTTGTGGTAGGTGGTGGTACGAGTACCTCTCAACATTGCATAGAATAATAAAGCTATCGTTTAATTTTAGATTTCACCGAGTATATCTTGAAATTATCAGTAAGAACCTAAATAATCGTCCTCTATCCTCTACTTTCAAGGTATTCATTTCATATTCATTTTCTGTAAAAATTTCAAGTCAATATCAAGTAGTTCTGTTCATCAATCAAGATATACACATTCAATGTTTCAATTTTTATTTGAGTTTTACTACTAAAAGGTTTAGTTTTATCATTCAATTAATCTTGCTAGTTTGGATACGCAGAAAGAAGGATTGAATAATGGAGTTTTAACTTGATTCGTTTTCCAAATCCAAACTATTAGATTCTATGAATCGACAAGTATTCGAGCGACTTCGTAAAATTCATTTAAAATTGTCTTATTTATTAAAAGAGTGACAGCTTAAAGGCCCATAGTTAAAATATTCTCTCGGAAAATTTGAGCTGTAATTACGTTTTTTTATTTGAAAGACACTTAATTCGAAAACTCATCTTCCATTAAGTAATATTTGCATTAGTCGATGACGTATACTATATAAAAGTAAAGGTAACATAAATTATATTGTCTTTCAAGATATTTCTTTACTTGGAAGGTAATAAACATAAACTGAATTCATTGAAACGGATTTCTGTGATCGAAAATATAGATACATTGACTATTGCGCAAAAATATCATTGATTCTACATCTATAGGTATTCTATTTGTTCACATAATGTGTCATCGAAATTTTTTGTCAGAGCCCATCTATGATCATAATCAAATAGGGTGAGAGCTCAATGAAGATCGGTGGAGACCGGTGGCGGTGCACCGTAACAACCGGTGGGAACAGTGGCGGTGAAACGGTGACGGTGGACCGGTGTGCCTTCGTCACGGTTGCATTCCTAGTTATAACTGAGAAAGATTGTTTTTACATTTTCAAAATTAAATCAAAACTACTAATTTTTATGGCTAGTATTCAACAGTTTTCAATGAGATTAGCTAAAATAAAGAAAACGACGACTCTATAAACCACTGTTGGAGTTAAAACTGGTTGAATCCAGTTATAAATTGATTCAACCCACTGACGAGGGAACGTCGTTGATTCTATTCCGTAATATGTTAGTGTAAAGTAAATATTTTGTTTAGTTTGAGGATTCTGGTGTTGATTGTTGTTC